TTCTGGCTTTCAGGAGAGTGAGGAGGCCATGGTGGGAATGGGCTGGAGAGAGGCTGCGGGAATGGCAGTGGCGGAGCAGGCTCAAGGCCAGGGGCTGGGGACGGCAGGGAGCAGGGGAGAAGAACACAAAGGCTCCAGGGTTCTGAGCAGGGGACACGGAGCCCGGGAGGGACAGGTGAGCCAGCCAGGTGAGCGGGCCAGCATGCCCCGCCCCTCAGGACAGACACAGCTCCAGACGGGAATTGTTCGCTCCCTTCTCTCCCTTTCTCCTGCACTGCTGAGCCCTGGGAGCTGGTGCCTGTGGCCACAGGAGGTCCAGGATCTGTCAGGAAATGGTTCCCTGGGAGGAAGCCAAGATGCAGTCTCAGCTCGCCTCCCAGCCCGCCTCCCAGCCCTGCCTCCTGGAGCACAGGGCATAGGGAAAGGGGTGTACGTCCAAGGCCTGCTGGTGGCACTAGTAAAACCCTACTTTGTTTTCCATTTTATTTTTTTGCCCGTAATTGCAGTGTTTATTTGGAAGCCCTAAAATGCAGAGCAAGGACATCATAGAAGTACAGTTGTGCTACAGAATAACACCTGGACACTGTTTCCTTTTAAGACTGATCTTTCACTGTTGTTCATTGAAGAACCATCATCTTTATTATTATTTCTTTAAAGCATACATTTTTGTTTTGTTTTGTTTTTTTATTTTAATGCACAGAAGCATGAATAAGAAAACAAAGAATGGGCTATGATTTTCCCATCCAGAAAATAATAGGCTCGCAAGGAGAGAAAGGGACAGAGACAGAAAGACAGAGATAGAGAGATAGAGACAGAGAGAAGGAAGTAAAGAGGGAATGAAGGCCGGAAGGAAGGAAGAGAAGTGAGAGAAATGATGAATATAAAGCCAAAAATGTACACAATACCAATAGGTGCAAATAATTTACTTTTAAGAGGGATGTAAGCCAGCTCCTTAAGCTTTGGGAATCCCTGGGGCTTCCAGGAGCAGAATGCAAATGAGGAATGTGCTGTGGTTTTTAAACCAGTCAGGTTGGTGAAGAACAGTCCTTTTAATGGTTAAATGCCGTTTTCTCCTTTTACTTTTTCTTCCTTCTTTCAAACTTCTGCTTTGGATGCGTTATTCCCTTCACAAACTGGAAACTGAATATGACATTCCTGTTGATAGCTGTGTCCCTGTCACAAGGAGCAAGGCGCCTTTGTCCTTCCAATCAGACCCTGGCTGCAGCTCCGGGGCCTCTGGCAAAGCGCTGCTTTCACCCATCGTGCCTCTGGCCTCTTCTAACGATGAGCACACAAAAGGTGACCTTATGGCATTATTGCAGAGAAGGGAAAAAAGAGCAAAATAAACAATGCTGTGCTGCTTGGAAAATAGCAGAGGTTAATTAAAGGTGGTTGTGGCTTTTGTTCCTTAGCTCCTGGTACAGAAAGAAAGAAAATCGGGTACAGGTCTTCTCTGTTGTTTGTTTCTTCATTACACCATGAATTTCCATAAACAAGGAATGTTTTTAGCTACAGATCAACTAGAAAAAAAAATGCATATGTTAAACCAGATGGGTGAAATTAACAGTTGCATTAAACTGGCTTTAAAATCACCACTTTTACAATATCACTAAAAATATCACGGCTTTGATTTTAGGCAACTGTTGGAATTCAGACGTTAACAAATGGACAAAATAAGCAACTTCACCTTCAAGTTTGTTATTTTTCATTAAATTCACTAGGGCAGAAAATTGTTTAGATTTTTGCAGAGAAAATTCTGAGTGATAATACTATGGAGAAGTTCTGGATTTTAATGTATAAGAGAAATAAGGAAGCCCTTAGCTCCTGCCCATGTTCCACTTTGCAGAGTTTTCAGTGCTAAGGGTTTAAGCTTGGCGAAGGGTTCTCATTTTGTTGTTCGTTCTCCAGCAATCCCAGCTACCTGGACTCTCCTGCTAATAGTTTCTGGGGCTTTGTGCCAGGGGTCAGCAGGGCAAGTGTTACGTTTGGATCTCCATTTGGTTTGGAATCTTTTTCTCCTCTGGGGCCACAAAGTTCAAGCCCATGTGTACTCAGGTGAAACCCATCATCTTAGGCATTTGGCAGAGCAGTTGAGGCAGGGATGAATCATTAACAAAATGTTAATGGTGCGGTGCTGGGGGTGTGCACAGAGAGGGTTCTGAAAAGAACACATATTTAAAAGTAAGTATATGAATAAGAAGTTATGCGGGGGGCTGGAGATTTAACTCAGTGGCACAGCACCTGCCTGGCAGGCACGACATCGTGAGTTCGATTCCCGGCACTGGAAAATACAAAAAAAAAAAAAAAACAAAAAAGTTATGAGGAAGTTATGTCGCAGCCCTGTCTGGGGGCTACTGTACTTATGGAGGCCAGTAGAGAAGGTACTTATGTGGCTAGTGGTTGAGCAGGGTGGAATACTTCTTCAACTATACAAAGGAAAATCCACAATGAGACCCCAGACTTCTGGTAGAAAAGGATGTTATCCATCCCAACAGGAAAACAGCAGAAGTATCCAGGATGTCCACTGCCATGCTTTTGGTTATAGCCAAATCATCAGAAGCCACTCAAGAGGCTAAAAATAGAGAGCTAGTTTGGAAAATGGTGGCAGCTATAAAATGAAGTGCTCTGTATTCCAGGGTTCTATATCTGTGGCTTCAACCTAGTATAGATCAGAAATACTTGGGGAAGTGAATGGGGGATGTAGCTCAGTGGTAGAGCCCTTGCCTGGCATGCACAATGCCCTGGGTTCAATCTGTAGCACCACCAAAAGAAAAAAATTGCATCTGGAATGAACATGTGCAGACACTTTTTCTTGTCGTTAGTCCCTAAAAGTACAGTGTAACATCGATTTACATAGCATTTACATTGCATTAGATATAATAATCATACTGTGACTTAAAGTACATGGATGGATGTGCACACTTTATATGTAAATACAGTGCTGAGTTATATATGAGACTTGGGTTTTCAAGGAATTTAGTATCTGGAAGGGGTCTGAGGAGCAATCATCCATGGAAAGCAAGCAACAACTTACTATTAAAACATTAGAAAGAATGAACTTCTGATGGCTACAGAAAGTTATTCATAATAGATAATTTTAAAAAGCAAGTTGAGAGTTAGAATCTCCAGTAGCAGAATATACCACTTTTGGAAAGAAAATGTTTATGCATATATGTAAATAGATGTGTATATGAATTCTTGTGTATGCAAAGGAGAAGTCTGAAAGCTTATATAGCAAGCCTTTAACAGCTTCTAGCTTCACTGTTAACTGAAGGGGGTGGGGGAGAGAGGGGCTTGTTTTTATTCTACACAAATCTGCATTGTTTGATTTCTCTTACAACAAACAGCTAATTCTTTAGGGAGCTGAAAAGAAAATAGAGGGAAAAAAAGAGCTGCTCCATTTGTTCAGTAAGGTAATTTTTTTCACTCTCCACTGTGCTGGGTGCTTGGGATCAAAGGAACCAAAGCAGAAGCAGCTGGTGGGGGAGGAGCCGCACAGCGCAGGGCCCTGCAGTGCAGTTCAGTGCAGTGCAGTGCAGTGCAGTGCCCCGCTCAGGGACAGCGCTCAGGGACGGCCCGCGCACCTGGCTTCCCACGGGGAGCAGCTCCAGCTCATCAACGCTTTCTCAGCTTTCAGAGTTTTCATCCCTGAATCTTTCTGATCTTAACCTTTGTTTTTAGCAGGAACCTCTGCAAAGGAATTGCTCTTGGATAAACCTAATTGCAGTCTTTCCCTTCACAGCTCTCCTTTGCATACCCCTTGGTGGGGTGCTGAATAGAGAAGTCTGGCTCCCTCCTGAAAGTTTCTTTTTTAATAACATTTTTATTTTGGGTAGAAGGAAGAAAATGAAAACATTGGCTGTAACAGTTGCTAGGCAGGTGAAATTTTAGTCTTAAACTGACATTTACCTTGACATTCAAGTTGACATTATTTACATACAACTTAAGTCGTCAGTTACATGTAAATAACATCTGTTCTATCCTGTAGGATCTGTTATAACATGGCACCTGGGATAGGGCCTTGCATATTGTAAAGACTAAACATTTGTTGGCTAAATTAGTAAATGAGAGAGATGAATAATGAGTATAGACTTTAGAAGACTAACAGTTACATTATAGGTCCATCAAGCTTGATCATTTGGACTTAGTGTGGATGAGTTTATAGACGCAGGGCAGAATCATGTCAAAGGAGGCATCATGTGGCTTAAAGCGGCTGGGTGACAAGTCTCTCTCCACATGTAAAGGCAGCAGACTGAATGTGAACTCTGGCTTTGGTGACCTGCGAAGTGAACTTCAAAGGTTAGCCCAGCCCCTTGCCAGCTTTTATAACTTTTCCACAATTTATTTTGCTTCTTCAGGTCTCAGTCCCCTTCTGTGAAAAGTGAATTGACTAATAACAGCACTGACCTCGTAAGACCTCTCAGATCAAACGACATACTTGGCATAAGATACTTAACCCTGTATTTGGCATGTTGTAAGACCTGGATAAATGCAGACCCTTTTTAAAAAACAAACAAGCAAACTGTATTTTGATACCTATAAGAAAAACTAGACATGGAAGATGATGAGGAAGCATCTCAAAATAAGATTCTTTTGCCCAACTTTTTAGAGCAGCACCTAAGAACTATTTCTGGGATAAAGCACATCCTTTTTCAGTCTTCGAGAGAAAAAGTCTCTCCGGAAGTTTCAGTGGTCCTGATTGGGTGGTGAATTACACTGAGTAAATTACTCTCTTGAGGACTCTCAGCTATGTGAGGCACATCCTCTTTTCCCAGGATACTAGACTGTCACTTAGTGAAAAGAAAAAGCTATTTACAGAATGACACATGGCATCCCCAAAGGGTTTAATTTACCTCCCTGGAAGGTGGTGTATTTCAAGGTACTGCAAGACCAACTATATCAATAACTCAGGTGATTTAATTGGCTTCCCCTCTTCTTTCTCAAGCCACGTCGATCTCATGGTAATTAATTTTTTGTGCGGTGAATTGTGTTATTTACAGTGTCAAGAAGCCAAAATGAATCTGTATTAGAAATCGGTAGGAGGATATTTGAGAAGGCTGTAAAGAGACTCTCCAGTGTAGATGGTCTTCACCAAATCAGCTCTGTCGTCCCCTTCCTGATGGATTCCAGCTGCTGTGGATACCATAAGGCATCCTACTACCTCGCAGTCTTCTATGAAACTGGATTAAATGTACCTCGGGATCCGCTGCAGGTGGAGTATTGCATGGGTTCTGGAAGCATCAGTCACCCATGCAAATTATGCCCCTGCTAGGAAGGACACGTTGCCACTCCTTGGGGTTCTTTAAAAATCTTTATACTCAAGATAATATCCTGGGGCTGTGTGAATACAGGATACCCTGTTTTCAGCATATTCCTCATCCATTTCTGCACACAGCCTCAGGATATGGTTGGGACACCATCTAAGGGACAGTTTGGGCAGCGTTTCCGACACTCTCAGTCCTTGGACAACAGGGTCTTTTCCATGATTGGCATGACTATGACTGAGAGACCATTATATCATATTACTTTTTGCTAAGAGAAGCATTTGGACCTCTAAGCAAAGTATTGTCACATCCAGCCTTCTGCCATCAAAATAAACACTGTAACAGACAGTTTCCTTTTTTGGTTTTGAATCCAGATTGATTATGCAACTTGCCTAACATTTAGAGCCACATTTTCCTAAGTGCATTAGTCAGGGTTCTCCAGAGAAACAGAACCAATGGGATTATACGTCTAGGAAGAGAGTTATTATGAAGAATTGGCTCATGCAGTTATGGAGGCTGAGAAGTCTCCTGATGGATCATCTGTCTGTAAGTGGGAGGCCAGGAAAGCCAGGGTAGTGTTTCTAGAACAGGCCCGGAGGCCAGAGGACCAAGGGAGCTGATGCTATGAATTCTAGTCCAAGGGCAGGAAAAGACTAATGTCCTACTCAGGCAGGCGAGCAAGGAAAAAAAGGACAAATTTCTCCTTCACTGGTTCTGTTTAGGATCACAAGGGATGGGTGACACCTAGCACATTGGGAAGGGCCATCTGTCTCACTCAGGCCAACAGTTTCAATGCTAATTTCATCAAGAGACACCTTCCAGAGATGTCAAGAAATGATGCTTACGCTAAACACCCAAAGGCCCGTTGTAGTTGACACACAAAATTAGCCATCACAAGAACTATTCCCAAGCAGTCTCTGATCATTTTTAGTTTTCAGATCTCTGCTTTGGGGGAACTCGTACTGTTTAAACCTACCCAGGTGGCGCCATGTTCCTTTCCAGCCATTCATTTGTGACGTTTCTGATTTATAGATGCTCCTGATTCATGGCGTGTTTTCCTCAATTTCTGAACAGTCCTCACTAAGGCGCAATAGTGCAGAAACTTCTAGCCCTGCTTCTGCTACAAAATGGCTGGTTGACCATGGACAAATGACTTTATCTTTCTGGCCTCTGTTTCCTCAAGTATAAAATAAGATGGTTGATTTTCAGCCAGTCTCCAAGGATCCTTCCAGACCAACACTCTGAAAGTGTGAGGCTGGGACACAGACCACCTCCCATTCAGAGAGTGTGTTCATGCATAACATAGCTGAGGAGTACTGAGGTCTTTAGGACAGTTGGCTGATACCCAAAGAAGCACTGAGGGAAATCAAGGAAGGCCCCCATTTCTACCAAGAAAAGGCACAGGTCAGGCGCTTTTAAGCTATTAGACATACAGAAGGACAGATACTTTGGAATTTGTAGGCCATTTGAAATTTAGGCTGGCTTCTTTCTAGTTTTATTTTAAATATAAGCCAGTTAACATTTCTGAGATGGCCAGGATTATATACAAAATGGGCCTTACAGCCTGTCAGTGTTAGGATTTTATGATCTGACCTCCATTCTTGTGAATACTTTGCCAATTTCTTCCCAACAGGGCATGTTGTACAGTTTGGTTGGAGGCCAGGGCAGCGAGAGGCTGTCATCGATGAACCTTGGGTACAAACACTACCAGGGTATTGACAACTATCCCCTGGACTGGGAGCTGTCCTACGCCTACTACAGCAGCATTGCCACGAAGACCCCCCTGGACCAGCACACACTGCAGGGAGATCAGGTACGATGGAGATGTTGGAAGTGCTTACAGCCCCGCCTCCCAGGGCCTCTCCAACACTTTTACAGTCTGCACCTGTGGCCGGCTTAGTCACCGGCTTCCAAAGGCAGAGCGTAACTGAGTGGAGAGAAAAGCTTGGCACTCGCCAATTCACATTTCCTGATTGTTTTGAGGCCGACTGCAGGTACAGGCCCGCATCTCTGTGTGTGGAGCTCTTTGTGAGTAAGAGAATTGGCAATGCCGAGGGTACTGTCTTTGGACGGGTTTTGTATCTGTCTTTGGACAGATTTTGATTTGGGGAAAAAAAGTACACCAGAAACACTGTGTTTGTCCCAAGACCACGTGAGATGATGAGATCTGCATGTAAAGGGGCTTAAGTCAAACTGAGTCAGATCTGCCAGGGCTCCTATCAGTACGCAGTGAGCAAGCGGACGCCGCAGTACACAGAAGCCAGCTCTGCACCCCACCAGGCTCTCAGTGCCTGGCGCTTGAGAAACGTCTGTCCCCATCACGTGGCCCTTGCTATCCTAGCACACCCAGGTGACCCACAGCAGTGTAAGATGAGGTGACTCTGAGTGAGGACTGCCACCAACTGCAGCCCTCGAAATTGACTCGCTGAGCAAGGAATGATTGCTGAATGATCACTGATTAGTGGTTCGTGTCTGCAAAACAAAAAGCTCCACGTTAGATTAGACTGATGACTTGTTTCCAGACTTCTTTCTGAGGACAGAGTTAAAGGATCTAAGTAAAGACAGTAGTGTAAAAATAAAAAAAGAAAGCTGCTTCGTGATCGGAGCCCGTGGAGTGGTGGAGTTGAAAAGTACAAATAGTCTGCTCTGGAAGTTGGCAGATTTTTTCCATACGGTGCCAGATAGTAAATATTTCTGGCTTTGCCTGTACCGTCTCAATTCCACCATAGTAATGTGCCAGCACTCCAGGTGCCTGGGTGTGTGCTGGTGTGGGCCGTGTACAACCCTGACCTGCCCCTGCTGGTGAGCAGGCCCGCGCCATAGGCCTGGCTAGGGTAGGGCTGTTGAATCTTGGGGTTAGTGACTAACTGGAGCCAGACTGCTGGTCCCCAGCTGTGCTCCTGGGCTCATGCCACAAACTCACAGTGTGAGAAATCACACTCCGATATTTGGGAATGAATGATTTATGTGAAAGAAATCGCTAGCGGCCACTATATGGTTATGAAATAAATGACTCAAAGATCTACGCTGTCAGTGGACATTAAGTGTGAGTGAGGCAGTAAACACCAAGAGCCTGTGTATGTAAACATTCTACTTCCTTTCAGAAGCAATGGGTCCTTCCAAATACACTACATGCCCTCATCATCTGTACATGATTCAAGCTGAGTATTTGCTCCATGCACGTAAACTGTGCAGAATCTGACCTCAGCATGACAGGAATTGATTTATTAATCATAAAGATTTTTTATTTTTTTAAAAAGAATCTCTCTGAAAGAACGGTTTTCCAAAATCAAGCCACAAAATAATACTGCTTTTGTCTTTCCACAAAGCCCGAGTGTATTAATAATGTCCTGTATGTATATATTATTCTTTTAAGAATTCTCATTCAGCATAAATTAGCAGCAGGAAATAGTATGTTGCTAACAAGCTCCTTTTCTTTTGAAGATTTGGCATCTGAAATGTTATGATTATGAAAGAAAATGTTTAATTGGTCAGAACCAGAGGAGATGAACAGAAAAGATCTATCTTGCAGCTGAAAAGTCATGTGATTAAGAATCGCAGATAGGAATTATACACTTAGAAGAGTTGTGTCATAGCTCATTTTCTTAAGAATGTGTAATTAATGGCTTCTTGAGAACTTAAGCAGGTGTCATGCATTGATTTAAATGTCCTTTTGTTGAGATGTCTATTAATTCACCAGCATCATGTAGCAAATGAGGAGCCTCAGAAAGCCAGACCTCTAATTAACAAACCAAGGATCTGTCAATACTGCCTCCTCGATTCTTGTTTCATTTTCTCTGTCATGTAACTGTGGTTTACATTGTTCATCTGTCTTAGTACCCCCGCTTCTCGCCACTTCTTTATGATTTAGTGGGGACTCTGCTTCAGATGAAAGAGAAAGATGAAACAGAAGAAAGCCAGTGTTTTTGTTAGTTCTTTGGTGGCTGAACCTGTAAATGAGCCGCACTCATTCTCCTGATTTCCTGGAAGCTGCTTTCCCTCCAGGTTGGGTCCTGACTTTCTTTCCTCCCTGGCTTCTGGGGAACACACAGGTCTTATCCATACCCTACCTGCAGTTGCCCTTCGAATACCTATGGCATTTCAACCTTTATCTCTGGCAGAGGTGTTTTGTTTTGCTTTGTTTCTCCAGTACTGGGGATTGAACTCTGGGCCTTCACATTGGGGTACATTCCCACCTATTTTTATTTTTTAATTTTTAAGACAGGATCTTGCTAAGTCACTATGTTTCCCCAGCTGGGCTTGAATTTGTGATCTTCCTGCCTCAGCCTCCTAGAGTGCTAGGATTACAGGCATAACCATACTGGCTGAGATCTTTTCTTACATGTCCCTGACTACAGTCATGCACAGTGCAAGGGGAACTCTCCATCTCCTCCTTCTCCTCCCTGCACACATGGTCACGGGTATCGCCATAATCTGTACTAGCAATGGGGATGCGTCTCTGATCCTCCTCAGCCTACACAGTAACAACCCCAGAAGCTTCACATGCCAGTTGCTCTCCCTTCCCCACCCTACCCCTGCTGCCACTGCTTAATTCTGCCCTTCCTCTCTCCTCTGAGCCGCTGCATCACCCTATATGGGCTTGTGGGACTTGTGTCCCCTCAAAATTTCTGTGAAGATCTCAACCCCCCGTGCCTCTTGATGGGATTATACTTAGAGATAAAGTCCTCTTGCTCAGTGGAAGGCAGCAAAGGGAGGCAGAGATGCAGGCTCCTCCATCGCCAGTCCCCCTGTATCCTGAGTGCTGGGGAGCCTGGTCCCTCACAGCTCTGCAGACAGCAGATGCACCTGGAGAAGCGTGGTGCTGGCAAGAGCCTCTCTAGCTGCGATCTAGACGGTTCACTTTTCTGGCCTCTCCTGTCTGCCTGTTCCTCCTGTCCTTCCCCTCTATTTGCCTGATTGACCCAGTCTTAGCAGCCTGCAGGCAGAGGGGAGGGCAAAGCAGTGACTCCCTGGGCTCAGCATCGCGGGCTAGCGTGGTGCCTTTGTGGTCCGAAGATAGGGGAGTTACCGGACATTGGGACACCCTGGCAGCAGGTTTTAACCCTGCAGTATGAGACATGAACTTCTTTTTTTTTTTTTTTTTTTTTTTGGTTTTTCTCTGGTACCGGGAATCGAACTCATGACCTTGCGCTTGCCAGGCAGGCGCTTTGCCGCTGAGCTAAATCCCCAGCCCCCGAGACATGAACTTCTGAGCTGTTCATTCTGGAGACAACGATTTTATAAAGCTGCAATAATGCTGAGGATGTAGCTCAGTGGTAGAGTGCTTGCTGAACATGCAGGAGGCCCTGGGCTCCACCCCCAACACTGCCATAAATAAATAAATGTCAGCAAAGGAACACTCAGGAAGCCCTGGGTGATCCCACAGCTGGCAACTTGGGACTGCTCATTGCTCCCAGCGTTCTCTGCCCTGCCCCGCCCCTGCCATGGCTTCTTTCCTGACCACAAAGTGCTGTTGAATGAATAACAGAACACCCTTCCATGTACGGTCATGGTGTCTCCATACATCCCTGTAAGTATTCTGGTTCCACCGGAGGCCCCAGGCATGTGGCTGTGCTCTGATGTTACTTGCTGCCCTGGTGACTCCAGAACTCTGAAGAAGTAACCCCGTACCTCAGTGGAGCAAGCAGTATGTGTGGGTTTAGATCCCAGGTCTGCTCCTCACTGGTATGAATCCTGGGTAGATTCCATTGGCCTCTCTGCCTCAGTTTCTCACCCATAAAATGGGGGCCACCATGGTGTGCAGCTCACATGGTTGTTGTGGCACAAATCAGTGGGTCCATGTGCCCAGTGCAGGAATGAGCTCTCTCCAATGGGTCTGCCCTGACATTCTCCACCGTTTCCATCTTCCCAGCATCCGGTTCTCTTGGGTAGATCTTCATGCCCACAATATGAGATTCTGAGCTGTGCAGAGCTGTAAAGAACCATAGGAAGGCTAATGTTCTCAACTGCTGTGAGTCTTGTGTACATTAGAACAAAACAAGGCCTGGAAAATGGGGTTTCCACCTGCTAAGAGCTTGCTGCTAAGCTCCTGCATTAACATCTCATTAATCCCATGCATCCCCATGAAGTCAGTATGAGTATCATTCCCATCTTACTGAAATGCCAGCTGAGACTCAGAGAAGCTAAAAAACTGGCCCAAAGTTTCACAGCAAATGAGCAATGAGATTTGAACCTAGGTCTAACTCTTTGCACTGCAAAAACAAGAAATAATGGCTAGTCAGTTGAGTACTTTAGATGTAGCAGCGATACCCTAAGCTCCATCTTATGGATGCAGAAAATGATTGTCAGATAGATAAAGTAACTGGCCCAAGGCTCACGGGTAGTTGGTGGTGAGTTTGGGCTCAAATCCCCTAGATCAGATAGGAAGGGTTGTGCTCCTGGTGGCACTACCTTGCTACAGAGCTCATGACACCATCCAGGGGTGTGGGAAGGGGCTGGGTCAGGGGACTGAGATACAAAAAGCCAGTGCATTCCTTCTTCACCCTTAGGTGTGCTTGCCTGGGTCCCACTGGAATCATGGTCTCTGCCACTTTAGCAGAGCTGTTAGGTAGAGCTTGTTACGTTGAATGGGAGACAGTGAAACTTGCTTGTTCCCAGATGCGCAGGTCCCTGGCAAGATAGTGAGGCTGGGTGAGGAGTGTGGACCAACCTGGATCTGACTGCTAAATTTGAACACCTAGTATATAATCTTGAGAAAGTTAGCTAACCTGCCTGAGCCTCAGCGTGTGCATGTGTGGAATGCGGATATTGGCAGTGACCGTCTTAGGAGGTTACAAGGACTGGGTGAGACCATCAGGTGAGCAGCTGGACCAGGCTCGGCACTTGTATGAGAGGGTTGTGACAGTGTGTCAGAGTGGAGGGCCAGAGTGGAGCAGAAAGACTTGGAGCTGTGCATCCCTGCAGGGTAGGAGCTGTGTCTGTGTGTTAGCGCTTTCATTTCAATTTCATGTCAAGGAGAAAGAAGAGGAAAGAAAATAACAAAAAAATGAAAGTGCCCAAATCATCCAGATGCATAAAAAGCTTCCTGCCGAGAATTTCTTATCAGGGCAACTGGAGCTTCTGCCCGCTTCCAGGCTCATCGCGGGAGGCAAAGTGTCCCCTGGATGCGGGTGGAGCTGAAGGGCACTCATGCTGCCCTCCACACCTGTTCGCCATGCGTCTGCCTAAGAGTAAACCGGAGGGGCCAGGGACCGTGTCCAGTGGGCGGCGCCATGCGGCCCAGGGCTCCGGAACAGCTCTGTCTGCGGAGTCAGTCCACCCCGGTCCCAGAGCCAGCTCTGCAAAGTGACCTGGACTTCATCGTTCCACTTTTTGAGCTTCTGTTTCTTTGGCTATAGATTGGGGATAGCAATAAACGGGTCACTGCTCTGTCTTGAGGATTAAATGAGGAAATATTTTTCAACACTCAGCACATAGTTGATTTCAGTAAAGGGCTGGCCATCATTGCTGTTTTTTTTTTTCTTTTCTTTTTTTCTTTTCTTTTCTTTTCTGTAGGCAGTACTGGGGATAGAACCCTGGGAATGTCAAGCTATACTCTCAGCCTCTTTTTTTTTTTTTTTTTTTTTTGAGACAGGGTCTCTCTGACTTGCTTAGGCTGGCCTCAAACTTGCCATTCTTTTCCCTTCTTCTTGTGAGTAGCTGGGACTACAGATGTGTGTCACCATACCTGGCAGTGGCCATCACTACTCTAATTGTTGCTGTTAGCTCGGTGATGTCCCAAAGTTAGACATCTTGAAGACATGGATTTCTGCTGGGTTCTGAGCATAGCATGACTCCCACGTCTAGCCTCCTGATGCCCCTGAGAGGGACCCCGGGCTCTAGCTGGCTTCAATGCTGTGGGTAGCTGGGTGACATTCTAAGGAACGGCGCTGCAGACTAGAGTTTGAGACGCTGCATGCTTTTCCGAACCAACAGAGACCGTCGGAAGGGAAACCAGGCCTGGTTCCTGCTCTCTGAGGCCTCTTTCCCACGTTTGTCCCTCCAGTTTCTCACCCCCTGCCGGTGGCATGCACAGGAATGGAAAGCCTTCCTCAGGTCCTTCACACCACTGTCACATAGACTGTCGTGTGTAAGGGGAACCCGAGGAACCCCAGGACCAGGCTTCTAATCAGCAGCCAGAATGTATACACCAAAACGAATCTTATTTTCTTCAAAGGAGTCAGGTACCCGGGAGACTGTGTGCAGATTCACAACGCTTTGTGAACTTTTCTTCGGGTTCATCTTCAGAGCCTCCGAAACATCCTCCAATTCTCAGAGTTAACATGCCCTCTTCTATTCAGGGCAGATTTAAGACGTTTTGGAAACAGCTAAAAGATATTTGAAGCTGAGCCTGCGAAATAAAAGGGGTTAGTCATGCAGAATGGTAATACTTCAGGATAAAAAATAAGGTCATACTTAGAAAATATTGATTTATCCTTTTGTGAAGTGGTGTGTGTGAAATCGCCGGCACCAGGTGGACCTCCGAGCAGGCCTGAAGTAGAAGTGGAAGTGGGGAGAGTTCTGGCCTTTCAAAGCAGGCGCTTTGATAGGAACAAATGCCCGTGTAGATACGTGAGCTCTACGTTCATTTAGAAGGAATTTGATCCTGTGCCATGGCTTATACTTCAATTATTCACACAGCTTCTGCTTGAGCAATTGCTGGTTTAAAAATAACACAACGTCTTTTGCATGCCCATAGCATTGGGATACTTCCTTTCCTTCTACCTCTTTCCCTCCGCCCCTCCTCCCGGACCTTCCTCCCTTATTCTTTCCTTCCTTTCTTTTCAGGCATATGTTGAAACCATTAGATTAAAAGATGATGAAATACTCAAGGTGCAAACCAAAGAAGATGGAGACGTCTTTATGTGGCTGAAGCATGAAGCTACCCGAGGCAACGCAGCTGCTCAGGTAAAAAATGAGTCCGCTGTCTGGCAGATTCTGTCAGCCTTGATAGAGCCGTAGTAATAAGACCTCCCAACCTCGGAGGCATAAGACGTTGCTGGTTCATTTCTGGCTCACGCTGCATGACCGGCAGAGCCTGGCAGGGACTCTGTCCCTCCAAGCCCAGCCTGAGCATGGCCCTCCATCCGTCCTTCCAGACCTTTGCAACAGGGCACAATGGAGCAGCTCACAGGGTGGCTGTAACACTTCTGCTCAGAAGTGGCACAGGTCACTAAGGACATGTACTGGCCAGAGCAAGTCGTGTGGCCACTCGTGACTTCAAGTGGGCCAGACCACAGAGCTGCCACCCACCCAGAAGAACAGGGCATCACCTGATTTGTGACCAGCCTTAAAGACTTGCAGCTATATTTTGGCACAGGCATCAGACAGAAAACAGGAAGCATCTTGGGTGTGGGAGAAATTACACGGGCATTGAGAAGAAGGCCATGCATTCAGCTGGGAGAACAATAGAAAATCATTTATTCATGGGGCGTCAGGCCAGAAGCATTGACCTTGTGTTTGAACATCTCTTGTCCTTCGGGTGGACTTCTGAAGGCGCAGGAAAGGGCAGAGGCTGGGAAACGTCCTCTGTCTGATTTCCTGCTTTGATTTCACTGTGCAGAGAAGCCCTTGGAGGGGACCTGTTGAGGCTGATTGCACGGGGACGGAGCCTCCTCCTCAGAAGAAGGTTTAGCTTTGGCTGAGCACTTCCCGGGAGCACGATGGTGTCAGAGGAACCTTGGGGCTGCTGAGCAGGCAGAAGAGCAGAGATAGGAAAAGAAAGGGAAAAAAAAGCAAAAACAAGAATCAGAGGCTTTGACAAAGCAACCCATTCGGGGATTTGCAGGACTGGCCTGCCGGCCTTCTGCAGAGCTCTTCCTAGCATTTCAGTGGACCCTTTGCCGGGAGACACATGTATCTGGGAGAAGAGGGAGAGAGAGAGAGAGAGGATGAAATGACAGAAGAAGCAGAAAGAAACACAGCTTGCGCTGGTCCAGGTCTTGGTCACTGGACCCCAGTCTGCAGTTTCCTTAGGACTGGGTGCCCCCAAGCTTTCATTACCTTTCCTAGAAGGGACCCCCACCCCTCCCTGCCTCTCTCCCTTACATTCCTCTGCAAATCTCTGTAGAGAAGCTTCTGCAAACTTGTACTGAGCTCTGCTGGGTGGGCCCATGGGGACGGGGTAAAGACAGATAACATCTTGAGCTTCCTGCCTCCTGACAGCTCCCAGCTGTCCAAGCCTGATGGTGGATCTGGACAGGAAGACAAATGATGGGTAGGAAGTTGGTGCTGTGATGCCTGATGATACAGATGTGTAGAGACCTCCATGCGAATCACTGCTGCCCAGCCTCTTCCCCCTACAAAAAATTTCAAAATCAAACAAGTGTTTGACAAGAGCAGAGAGTTTGAATTGCTGATTGGATTATATCCAGCTCTGTGATCATTGACCAAGTTCTATCAGGCTTCAGGCAGCTTTGGCCCTGGGTGCAGGAGACATGCACACACACACACACACACACACACACACACACACCCCACTTGTGTTGAGGGCCTGGATTTATATAGTCCACCTTCAGCCTCTGGCCCCTCCATTGGAAGATAAAGTGTGTCTATGTAATTCTTGGTTCTTAACATAAAACGTCTTAAAGTAGGTTTGTGCACTCACCTTTTCATTACACAGGAAAGTCACTGTTCCCGATTCCTATTGTGTTGTAGCAACGATTGGCCCAGATGTTGTTCTGGGGCCAGCAGGGTGTGGCCAAGAACCCCGAAGCTGCCATCGAGTGGTACGCCAAGGGCGCTCTGGAGACCGAGGACCCCGCCCTCATATATGACTACGCCATCGTGTTGTTCAAGGTGAGGATCACTTGCCTGGTGCTGAAATTGTATAGTTCTGCTAATAAACTTTCCCAGCCATTTCCTGTATGTGAAGGCAAACAGGGAGTCTGTCCGTGAAGAAACTTAGTGCATGCTTCTGTTGCTCTTGGTGGAGAGCAACACTAGGAAGAAGGTAGGCAAAAAGAAACTCTTCCCCGGGTTGCATTTTTCATTGTTAATCTTGCATTTGGCACCTGGGTTATCTCTGCTTTTGCTAGTACTGTGGCATTCTGAGGGACCAGCCCATATTTTCTGGGCTGGTGCAGTGCCACTGGGCTCACAGAGGCTGCGTATTTGCCACTGGAGTCCTCACTGAGTTGCCACTCAGCAAAGTGCTTGTTTGGGTTGATCCCAGAAGTCCCGCCAGGGAAAACAAAAATTTGATTTGGAGCCCATAGGAGGAGGAGGAGGAGGAGTTGGGAAGAATCCAAGAGTCAGTCTGACTTCCACAACAGTCATGGATGTCCTCGGGGTCATCTGATCTCTGGGATGGCGGTCATGACCATAAATGGAATGAGACAGTGTAAGCAAAGGCTTCAAGAACTGTAAAATGTGCCTTATACAGAAGAAAGTCATTCACACTGATTGATTGAGTACTGTACTATGTGGATTAATACATTTAATCCTCATGGCCAGTTTAGCAGGTGGGAAACTATTTAGTGTGCTGTGGTCACTGTTTATATAGATGGAAACAGAAAGGTTTTGACACTCAAGGTCTCCTGGCTGCCACATCTCAGATGGGATGAGGATCCAGGCAGGCTGGCTTCACAAACTGTGCTCTTCACCCCCAAAACACGGGCATAGATTCACCAGTCTTGGAAAAGTACGGCGCTTTGGCTTTGATAAGAAGACCCTTGGACCTTATGTCCATGCCCAAAGAATGCAGCTGTCCCCAAAAGTGAGTGTCTTCAAACAAGTGTGTGTATGCAGTTGGCCAGGCGCATCTCCAGGACTGCAGCTGTGGCCACTCACTGATTAACAACCGTGACTTTGCTACATTCCTACCCTCCTAAACCCCATCAAAGCCTGAAAACCTATTGGTTGTTATGGTTTCCAAATTGAGAGCCCAGACCTTCTCTTTCCAGGCATCAAATCAACATAGAAATTGTTTGAATCTCTGCCATATGCCAGTGCATCCGTGTATTTATTCAATAAGCATCTATTCAGAGCTGACAAAATGCCAGATTGTGCTAGGTGGAGGGACATATGGATGAGTGAATCACATCCTGGGCCTCAGAGGGCTCATACGCTGGAGGACAGAGAGGACAGAGATGGCACAGGAGAGCGGCACGTGGCCACGGTGGTTAAGGCTGGTCATTGGGCAAAGTGTGGAGAAGATAAAGCCCCAAGCAAGACGTTTGGTCCCTAGGAGCTCATAATCTAGAAGAGGCAAATGCATAGATAAAGGGCTGTGCTGGTGATTTGTCTCCTTGGGGCCTGATTTCCCAAATCTGAAAGATCTTTTTGTTTTCCTTCATTCTTTTTTTTTTTTTCCCTTCGTTCTTACTAAGTTATCTCTGGGTGGGCTGAAGAAAGTCCTTTGTCAGCATTTTAGGGGAGCTTTTCCCCTCTGGTTAGGGGGGCTCTTCACCTGAAAGAGCACCATGTGGAAAATGGGTTTTCACAGTGGAAAGGATGACCATGTGATTTTGCTATGTGAGGACACCCAACTTACTGGGCAAAGATGGTGCCAGGATGGTGGGTCGCTGTGGTCTGTCCAAGGAGGTGAGGAGGTGCATCCATAGGAGGACGGAGCTTTGACCTTGACCGTCATGACTGTCCTCCATCCATGCATTCTGTGGATAGTTCCTGAGTACTCACGATGTACCAGGACTTGATGTGTCTCTTCTTTAACAACTTCAGCGACTACTCAGATTTGCTCATAGTCTTTGTGCAAGAAGTTATCCCACTTCCGATCAAACAGAAGGCGTGCTGAAACATCTTTGCCCTATAATTTGGGGTGTCCGGGTTGTAAATTGCAACTGTAGCCTGGCGTGGTGGTGCAAGCCTGTAATCCCAACACTCCGGAGGCTGACGCAGGAAGATCATTGTGAGTTTGAGACCAGCCTGGGCTACAGAGTGAGCTCAAGGCCAGCCTGAATTGCATAGCAAGACCCTGTCTCAAAAAGACCAAATAAATAAATAAATAAATAAATAAATAAATTGCAGCTGTAACTGTGAGGCTGTGGCTTGTCAACCTTCTGGGCCCCAGTTTTATCCCTTCAAATCAAAGAATTGAGGAAGGTTTAACTCTAAAATTCCACCAGGCTCTTAACATTTTATGATTCCGGCCTTTCTGATACTTTCCCAGCAATCCCCCAGAAAGTTCTTTCATCCCCTATCCAGTTATTCCAAATACCCTTCTGTATCTTTCTTCTCTCTCTTTAATTAAATGAAATAATGGTGCAGTTTTGAAAAACATATTTTCCTCATCCCCATTGCTGCAGTCCATCAGTTTTACTAAATAGGTAAGTTGAAGCCTGGCAAAAGCATGGTAGATATAGCTGAGCCTTTAGTTAGATTTGCAGTTTTACTTGGGGTCCCGAAGAGTGAAGAGTCAGGCGTGCTCGTGTGTTTCCTGTATCCTGAGGGAGGCTCCAAGCCCTTGAACTTTCTTGACATAGAACCGAAAGGTTCTGGAGGAAACGGTGTGGTGGTTACAGGCTTGGACTTGAGAGGCCACTTGCCTGAAATGCGGTCCTGCTGCTGGTCCCTGTGTGCTGTGTGACGCTGGGCGGTTTCCTAGGTAAGGATGACAGCGGCAGCCCTGGCGGGTTGTTGCGATGGTTATGTGTGATGGGACAGCGCTGGTGCTGAACACAGGAGTGCTTAGTAGTGCTGCCTCCCTTCCCTAGAGAGCCAAGCATTTAAACAGAGCTGATAGGAGCTAGCTTCCTGCAAAGCCTCTCACATGCACATCCCATGTGATCTGCACGACCATGACTGAGCCCAGCAGGAGTGGCTCCCTGAGGCCCTTGGAGCATGGCCGGTGCCAATAATCCGAGGTGAATTTGAAGCAGTGCTGTTCTCAACTGGCTCCCCTTGCCTGGCATCTGCACTGTCAGACCTGTGTCACGAGGCACACTGGGGACCCTGCTCACCCCCTCCTCATACTCACCATTTCTCCAGACACCCTCAGCAGGGTCCACAGAGCTCCTTTGTGTAGCCTGAACCCAAAGCCACCCGCTTCTTTGCGTGGAGGGCAAACACCACTTCTGGAAAGTCTGGATTATGCTGGAAGAACCCTGTTAGTTTCTGTCACTTGCCTCAGAGGCAACTGATTTTAGGGGTCCTATCTCCTCCACGGCAGGATCTCAAGCTGGTCCTGAAGCCACAGAGTTACAGCCTGGGGACTCAAGCCGGGACCAGGAGGCTATGAACAGCAGCCTAACCACTTTTGACTGTCCGAGCCAGATAAAGTGCTTTATCTGGCTGGCAAGTGAGATAATCCCCAGAGGGAAGCATCCAGGATGACCAAACTCATTTAACCCAGTCCTTGGCTTCTCCTGATAGCACCTGTGGAGTGATGGGAGCGCGATTCCCACAGTGGCCAGTGGGGACTTTGTATCAGTGCTGGGCTGGGCGGTTGAGGTTTGTTGCCTCTGATCCATGAATGTGAGCAAAATACTGATAATGCTGATGGGGGCGGGGTAGTGATGTAACAGCGCTCTGCACAGATATGTTTAAGATTCAGTTTTGAATTAAGAAGGTTTGAGGTTTATTTGTGCTGTATGTGGAACAGTGGTGTGTCTGTGTGACGCTTGTGAGTGTATTCTGGGCTTGTTTTCCTAATAATCACTGCTATTTATCAATGTTTAGGGTCAAGGAGTGAAAAAGAACAGACGGCTTGCCTTGGAGCTGATGAAGAAAGCGGCCTCCAAGGTAACACACGCACAGTGTTGGAGAGAAGTGGTTCTGCCCCCCACACCCACGCTCCCAGGAGTCTGTAAAGGAAACAGCCAGCCTCTTTCTAGCAAGCCCGCGGTGGGAGTGGGGTGGGGAGGGGTCCCCGACACTGCAGTGATTAGTCATTTTTGAGCTACAGCACATACAGAAACTTGCCACAAAGGAGACAGCAAAATTCAAAAGCTGAATTCACCTTCCAGTCAATAGAATTTGGGTTGATTTTGTTTGAAGGCTAAAATTATAATCGTGAGCTGCCCTGATAGCAAGCCGTGGGGCTCCTTGAAATTGAATGGGCATAAATGCCATTGAATTAGGGAAGCCGAAAGCCTAATTCCGTGGGAGGTTAACCCTGCCGTGTCCAATTACCATCTGCTTGGAGAATGGAGCTGTATGCTGAGGATATTACCAGGTCCAGGAATAATTTTGCTTTTGTCACTATTTACACTTCCATGGTATCTTCAGGTCAGCTGGATTCCAAAGATCGCTATAGGATGGAGATCTCAATAGTACTTGAGAGGCACACACACAAGTGTATACCACCAAGTGCTAGCACACACGCCCGCTGCAAGCACTTCACACATACTCTCCTAAAGGAGCAGTTTAGAAAAGGTTCTGGCTGACAACAACTGCAAACACATGCACCTGCTGCGTGCGTGCGCGCGCGCACACACACACACACACACACACATACGTGCTTGTATATAGATCTGCAAATAAATTGCTCGGTGTGGGGGTGCACCTCTGTGATTCCAGGACTCGGGAGGCTGAGGCAAGAGGATCGCCACAGGTATGAGGCCAGCCTGGGCTCCATAGTGAATTCAAGGCCAACCTGAACTACAGAGTGAGACCTTGTCTCAAAAAAAAACAGATTTGCAGATAAATAGATTTGTTGAGAGTGCTTTAATTCCACTTGGGTGGGACACTCTGGCTTTCCGGCTCCTGGATGTGCCTCTGTCACCAGGGCTACTCATGTTGGCCTGTTCATCCATGGAGCCTCCCAAGGGGACTACACTGCGTTTTCTTGCGCTTTCTTCTTCCTGGAGCTCAGAGGGTCCTGCTCTGTATAGCAGGACATCGGAGCGGGAGTGAGAGCCTCCGGAGACTTTCCTCCACCTCGATGTGGTCAGGAGGCTCCAGGACCCAAAAAAGGGATGCCACTGATGTGCACACCCGCTCCTGACTCAGCACACACAAGGCACACACCTGAATAGTGTGTGAGGGCACCCTGAATAGTGCCAGTGAGGGGCTTCTGGGCAAGTGTGAAATTCGCATCTGTGTGTGTGTGTGCGTGTGTGTGTGTGTGTGTGTGTGTTACTGGGGATCAAACCCACACTCTCAGAAGTCTGCAAAGGAAAAGGCCAGCCGTGAGTGCTCAGCCCCTCGGCTGTATCACAGCCCCTTTTATTGTTACTTTTTAATTTATTTTTTACTAGCACATGTTTATAGTACATAATGGTCTCATTCTCGTGGGGAGTTGGTACCTGTACTTAACACATCTTAATTTTTTTTCCCCTATTCCTCCCTTCCCTCTCTTTTTCTGTATTTTAAGACAGGGCCTCATTAGATTGCCCAGGCAGGACTCAAACTTGCCATTCTCCTGCCTCAGCCTTCCAAAGTGCTGAGATTGTTGGTGAACACCAGCTCTTGGCTAAATTTGCATGTCTTTAGCCCCCGTACTGGTGATTGATGTCTGCTGTGCTTTAGTTCAATGAATTGTTCGGGGAGCTTCCATAAGTGCTGGGGAAATGCGGTTCTGTGGCCTGCAGTAGTTGTGTGCACTTCAGAGTGCTGTCATTCTCACTCTCATTCATCCATCAAGGATTTACTGAGCCCCTGCACTCTTCACGCTGTGCCGAAGGCTGCATGGAGCTTGATTTTCAGAATTAGTCAGAAGTCACAGTCAGGCAGAACTATCGATCAGCTGGGTCCGGAACAAGGTCTGAGAACTAAGAGCTAAGGGTTCCCTGCGGGCTCCTGACCTCAGTCCCAGTGCAGTTCCTAAAGGAGCAGTTTGGAAAAGGTTCTGGCTGGCGACAGGTGCGTCCGAATCAGGCTGTGGTTTCTCCTTGTGAGCGTCGCGGCAGCCAGCGGATGTGTCCTGTGGGCTTGCTCAAAGCAGACTCTGCTGCTTTATAGCGGGGCCTGGCCGCTTACTGCATCAACGTGCATTCCGCAGTTGCTCTGCGGAGCGTACCCGGCTCCAGACCCGAAAAGGACGCTGTCATGCTTGGACCCATGATGCTTACACGCGCAGTGCTCTCAGTTTGGACATCGTGGGGGTGAACCCTGCTCTGGACCCCAAGGAGGGCGGATTCAGAGTCTATTTGGCATCAGTGTTCAGAGCACAGTTTCTATTCATTTGGCATATATTTATTGAGTGTCTTGCTGGGTTTGGAGCAGAAACCAAGATCCAGCCCTCAGGGAGCGTCCATGTGCTTGGGCTTTGCTGGTTTCTTCTCCAGGTCTTCCTGGCACCCAGATTATAAGGTCAAGCCTAGGAGGAGCAACCTGCTAGGAAAGAGGAAAGGGAGCTCCGTCTACCCAGGTGCACAGGGGTGACGGGGCTGGACTTGGCCAGAGCAAGGGAGGGGCTCAAGGCTGGGGCAGTCTGCTAACAGGGCCTCCCCTGGTGCCACGCAGACCTGAGCCTCCTCTGCCTTCTGCACCCGCCCCCTTCTGACCCTAACTGCACCAGAACTGGGGGTGCCGAGCCAGTGCTGGCGCGTGGGCTGTCGCAGCTGCGTCCCCTGGAAGGATCCTCAGTGTTCAGGGCCAAGGAATCAACAGATGGGCAGGCGGGTCACCTAGAAATCGTCCGAGCCAGGGCAGGTTTTGGGCCTCCTGCCGCAGATAATGTTCACGCATTTCAAGGGCGCTGTTGCTCCTGCAGGATGCTCAGAGGCCATCATAGGCAAGAGCTTTGCAAGAGAGCCCGGCGTGGAGCCATGGTGGGGGCCAGCACCACTGCGGAGGGGGACAGCAGAAATCCCAGCAGCAGCCGGGCGAGACCCACCTGGGAGCCTCCTGGGCAGGCTCTGTCTTCTGGCACTTCACTTTTCTTTAATGCCGTCTGCCCCAGAAAAGAGAAAGGGAAGGCTTTGCTCAGATCCAGGCAGAATGCTTTCACGGCATTTGCTTCCAGATCTCTTTAGATGACATTTTTTTAAAAAAATAGCAATTTCTTTCTCATTCTAAAATCCAGGGATTGCATCAAGCAGTCAATGGCCTGGGATGGTATTACCACAAATTCAAGAAAAATTATACCAAAGCGGCCAAGTACTGGTTAAAAGCAGAAGAAATGGGGAACCCAGACGCCTCGTACAATCTCGGAGTCCTGTATTTGGATGGCATTTTCCCAGGAGCTCCTGGAAGGAATCTGGTGAGTAGATTGGGACCAGCTCTGCAGCTGCCTGATGCCTGATCATGCAGAGTTTGTGGAAGGGGACGGGCCCCGGGAGTGAGGACGTGAGGACATAACCTGAGATCCAGGTCCTGTCCTCACCAGGCTCAGGGTTCAGTTAGGCAGACAAGACAGTGAGGGTAAAGGGTGGCGTTTAGCCGGGGGCCGGAAGTGGTGGATGGCATGACCGAACTGCCCTGGGGTGGAGACTCGGGAGGCCAGCGCAGCCAGGAAGGAGAGACAGGGAGCTAAGCACGGGCAGCGCTGCCTGGTGGGAGAGAGCAGGGACAGCCCCAGAGTGGACCGAGCGCTTGTCTGTGGCCGCTGCTTTATGCAGGCTTGTGCACTCTGTCCTCTGAAAGAAATACCTGCTACGGCTGTGTCCGTCACAGAGCAGGCAACCGAGGCTCTGAGGGGTTAAGGGACCTTGAGTCACATACTTGGTAGAGTAAGGGCCTGCGCCCGAGTGTGAAAGCGAAGCCTCTCCGTTCACAGTGACACTGAGGGTGGTAATAAAATGCTGAGTGCCATTGCCTTCACAGAGTTTATTGGGCACCCTCTTGTGCCAGGCACGCTCCTGGGCATTGAGGGGCACAGCAGCAGACAAAACGGTTCCCGCTCCCATGGAGCTGACATCCGTAGGGGAGAAAGAAAGGAAGCAAACACCTCCTCACAGGGCAGGTAGGGACGAGAGTTGGGGGGAAGATGGAACAGGACACGAAGGCAGGAGATTGTGGGGGCCAGAGAAGGCCTCTGACTGGGGACACTGCGCAGGCTCCTAAAGGAGTCTCACAGATATCTGGGAGAAGATTCAGAAGGAGGACATAACTGGGACAAAGGGCCCAGGACGGAAGCATCCACGGTGCCCCAGGAGGGAGCAGGGAGGCCAGGTTAGCGCGGAGGTGGGGAGGGATGAGAGTCGAGGCAGTGGGGTCACTGCCCAGATCCACACGAGACTTGTTGTCTGCTGCGGGGAGACAGGAAGCCATCTTGGGCCATCTCGAATGGGGCAGCAATGAAGGGGCAGTGTTTGAAACAGCTCTTCTTGCATCCCTGGGGACACTAACTGGAGGGAGACGGGATGGAGACAGGGTTAACGCTGAGAATTCAAGCCAGAAAATTCCATGGCTAAAATGGGGCAGTAGCGGGGAATGGCTGAGGTGTGACTGGACTTCACAGATCCTCCGAAGGTAGAAGCGAGCCGGGGAGGACTCCAGCATGCTCGGCACTTGGAAGATGGAGGAATGGACGTGGCATTTATTGGGATGAACGAGACTGTAACAGTGGCAGCGGTGGTGTAGGAGGGCAGAGGAAAATTATTCGTTGTGAAGCTAGGACTAAACCTTGGAGAATATGGCACCTCACTTAATCTCCACCCCACCCTTTCCCACGAGGGACAATCAGAAGCCACGTTTTGCAGCTGCAGAATATGAGGTTTGGAGAGATTAACTAACATGCCCAGGGCCCTGCAATGGGTCAGGACCAGAGCTGGGGTTGGAACCCAAGCCTAGCTGCCTGCAGAGTCCATGCTTTTAGAAACAATAGTTTACTAGCCCTGAAAAACAGTGGAAATCAGTGGAAGTATGTATATACCCACCTAAGTGTTTGTTTTCATTTCTCACTCCGCCTCTCTCTGATTACACACAGTGCCCGTATTTTTATGCATTGCACTTGTCTGGTAACCCTCCCACACATCTGCAAGCATGGATTTTTTTATTGTCATATTCTAATTCTCACCTTCCTACTGGAAATGCTGTTTTGTGCATGGGTTGGCAGGAAGGTATTAAGCAAGGTTAGGAAAGCAAATGCTTGGATTTTCACCTGGTATGACTTCTGGCACAGTCTTTCTGTCCAGCACACAGGGGTTGCACAAGGATCAAAGAGATGGTAGTGGCGCTCATGGTTGCAGGTTGCTGTGTTTATTGGGCGAACTTAATCACAGAATAGCTTTTAGCGAGTTCATACCTCCCAGAGGCTGGCTTCTGGGATGAGCTGTCTTTCTGGAACTATTTCTTGACCTAGTTTCCTTAAAGGTATCAGAAGTTCTAAGCCTGTGATAATATCAGGCTTACAGGACTTTTTGACAGTGGCTGTGGGAAACCATACAGCCGGGGGTGGGGAGTGTTGTACTAACGGGAGTGACGTGGTTCATCTTTCTCTGCAGACGTTAGCTGGTGAATATTTCCACAAGGCTGCACAAGGGGGACACATCGAAGGGACCTTGTGGTGCTCTCTCTACTACATCACAGGCAACCTGGAGACATTCCCTAGGGATCCCGAGAAGGCCGTGGTGTAAGCATCCAACAGATGTCGCCTGTGATGGGAAAACCATGTCCTCTGTTCACTATGCCTGAGAAACTGGACTTCTTTCTTTTTCTTACACTTTTTCTTTTCCATTTTTAAAATCGAGTTTTTACTTCTGTCATTATTGCGTGCATTTAGGTCAAAAAGCTAAACATCTCCTGGGCTGTCCCCCTGGGAAAGATAAAAGTATGGTTCTCTTTCCTCTGTCGGCTCCATTTGCCCCGACATGCGCAGTTCCTTCCTGATCAGTACATCATTTCTATTAGATTAGTATCACTTTACGTGGTTACTGCTATTCACAGATGAGCTGTGTAGCATACTATGATCGCTTTGTCTTTCTTGAGCAACTTTTCTAATGAATGATGATTATTTTTATTGTTTATTTGCTTAGATTTCTCTGCACTTACCATTGTCTATATACTTTTTTCTGGTACTGGGAGTTGAACTCAGGATCTTGTGCTTGCCAGGCAGGTGCTGTGTGGCTGAGCTATCTCCCTGGCCCTGTCTGTATACTTTTACCTCCAGTTCTTCCCTAGATCTCTAAATCTTCTCTTAATATGCTCACACCCATTAAGTAGTTTATTAATCTTCATGGTGACACCTTTCTTTGCAAGACAGTGCTGCTGGCTAAGATAGACTTTGTCACTATCATAGGGTTTCCTTTCCACCCCCACCTCTCTCTTTTTGGGTTTTGGGGGCTCTCTTTGCTGGACTCCTTTCTTCCTTTTCCTCACATGCACCCCCCGTTTTGGTAGAACACATCCTACAGTAGTTTTCTGAGGAATGGTGAACCCGGGGCATACTTTGAGGTCTTGCACATCTGGAAATGACCCTTAGGGGTTGGCAAACTATGATCCGCAAGTGAAATGTGTCTCACTACTTGTTTTGTGTGACCCCAAGAGGGAAGAATGCTTTTCACATTTTTAAGGAGTTGTAAAACAAAGAAGAATATGCAACAAAGACCAAAGCTTAAAATATCTACTATTTTGCCCTTTACAGATTAAACAAAGTCACTGAGCTCTGCAGTAGGCCAATTCATACTATACCGGGCTTTCCAAAAGGGGGCTTCCTGTGAGACATCTGAGATTAAATTCATCTTGACCCAAACTCAGTGATAAAATAGCTTAGATTGGCTCAAAGCCTTTTATCATTGTTTGTAGAGTATCTGGTGTGAATATTCATGTTTCAGGAATTTTCTTGTTATCCTTCTGTTACTGATTTCTAGCTAATCTCACTGTGATCTGAGAACATATTGTTAATGACGTCAGTCTTTCGAAATCTGCTGAGGCATGAAGGATGCTTGGGGACCAAAACATGGTCAGTTTGGGTTTATGCTCTCTGGGCTCCTGAAAAGTGTTTTCTAAATTTGTTGGCTACAGTGGCTACATAGATGTATCAGTTACTTCAGGTTTGTTAATTATGTCATTCACATTTTCTTTATCATTTCTGATTTTTTTGGTTCTGCTTGTTATACCAGTTATTGGAAAAAATGTGTTAAAACCTATGTGTATAGACTTATCTATCTCTTCTTTTAGCTTGTCAATTTTGCATTATATATTTTGAATTTGTGTTATTGGGTCATATAGAATTAGTATTGTTTTTGCCTTTCTCATTGACCCTTTTATCATTTTGCAACCTTCTGTTATGTCTGTTCATGGTCTTTACCTTAATCTCTTTTTTTTTCTGGTTTTCATGTACCACATCTTAATATTGAAATTTTTGTCTTTTTTGCATCCTTTTATTTTCAATTTTTCTTTGTCTTTTACATTTTAATGCATGTGTTTTGAAAGAGGCATATAATTGAAGTTTTGGTCATTATTTATTGTCTATAATTTTAGCTCTTAATTGGTATATTTAGTCCATTTACATTTAATGCAGCTATGAATATATTTCATTTTAAAATCTGCCATTTTACTGTTCATAGCCTATTTGTCTCATCTGGGTTGTTTTGTGCCTTTTTTCTCTCTTCTTGATCTTCCTTTGTATTAATCAAGTATTTGTAAAAATCATTCTGTTCTGTTCTATTAGCTTGTTATATATTTTTATACTATTCTTTTAGTGGCTTAAATCTAAAGATTACAACAGAGTAGCTGACTGTTAAATAATCCCTCTAGGACACATTAAGGGACAGAAACAAAGTAGAGAAACCTTATAATAAGTCAGTAAACACTTTAAAAGTGAGAGAAACAGAACCCTTGGTAGAGGTTAGTTTTTTCCATGTTGGTAGATATTTTTCATCATGCATGTCTTTGTTTCCATAAAAGAGCAACTACTAAACATTTGTAAGAAAGGCACTGAATGAAAAGCTCTTAAAATGTATTTTCTTAACCTTCTTAACATTCAGTTCTGATTTGTTACTTGATAAAAATTCTAACAAGCAGAATATTTCCTGAGTGGGATTTATTGAGATCATTGGAAGAAAAAAGTGATTATTTAATTGGCCAGTTTGCATATTTTTCTCTCCCTTTTCTTTTTCAGATGGGCAAAGCACGTTGCTGAAAAAAATGGATACTTGGGCCATGTCATCCGCAGGGCCCTCAACGCCTACTTGGAGGGCTTCTGGTAAGCGTGGGGCCAGAACTACAGTGGGCTTTCTCCACCCTTACCTTTTTTCAACCTGTCAGTACAGACTGAGGAGACCAAATCCTAAAATACAACTGAAAAGGCAATTTGCAGGCAAATCATAGCTTCCCAGTAATGATATTCAGAGTTTCACAGGCTGATTGGCTGTTGATTGGAAAACATAGCATTTCCATGTTTAATTATATACAGAAATTAGTTCTCTGGGGGGGGTGTCCACACTCATCAAGTTGAGAGACACACAGACACCTTGACTTCGCTTTCCTTTGAGCTTGTCCCCTTGGTTTTAGAGTCTGGAGGCAGCACAGGGGGTCTCTCGTGAGACTCTCTGCCTCCCCCTGCCAGGTCACTGCAGGGCCAGAACCTCCACCTCCACCTGGCTCAGGTGAAAAAGAGAAAGCACCATGCCTAAGGCTCAAGCCTGTCCTTTTAGACAGTTCAATGCCTCTGCCAAGACCAGGAACGGGCGTTATTCAAGTCACTTACCAGTGTCCATTGTCACAACACAACAGTCGCCTTCCTTGCTGACCTTGTCATGGAGCCCTGTGTCTCCTCCTGTTCTTTAAGGGACAAGGTGTTGCACAGAAGACGTACAAACCCCCCTGTCTGCTCTTGCTAGGTGATCACATGGATACCGCTCCAAACACTACCTGACTTCCTTTTCCATTTGTTTTCTTCTGTCAGTTCTAGCACTCCATTTTGATTTTCCCCTGTGCCACATGTGTTGGCTGGCTTATTGTCTAAATGATCCAGGTATTTTAGTAATAACTAAAAAGGACGCAAAGTCAGCAGCAGGCCCCTCGGTCCACTGGCTCAAAGACATTAAACCAGATTGAGCATCAATCACACTCATCTGAACCTTACTTAAAATTAAAATATGTGAAAGAACCCCATTTTCTCTCTTGGTCCATTGCTGCACATGTAACCAACAGGCAACATCTGAGGGAGCAGGAATCTTAAATTAAAGCCCATAGGGGAAATGAGCCCAATAAAAAAGGCACCAAATATAAGTGTGTGTTATCAGCAACCTGTGGAAGTTCCTTCTCCGTGGCCTCACTGCAGTCAGAAAGGAATTTCTTTCAAGGAAACTACAGTTTCCCAATTGTAAATATACCTTAGCATTTCGGAGGTGTTTTATCATGTGTCTCTGGTAAACATCCGAACATAAAACTCCCAAATTTGACTTTAACTCATTCTCTTCCAGCTTTCCATTTTCTCTCCCCCACAAGGCTTCTTAGAGTGAACTAAGGGTTCAGCTATCCAGTGTGGATATCCAGTCATCCCAAAAGGGGAACACACACACACACACACACACACGCACACACACACACACACACACAATATCTGACCTTTTTTTCTATAAACAGAACATGTGTTAATAGCTTAGCTTGGCCTGTTTTTGAATTTAATATCACTCAACACTTCAGCTAGCACTTTTAAAAATTTACCGTGAAGGGTTAGATGAATTACGATGTCTGTGGCTATTTTCTTTCTTAGAATACTTAGCCACAGTGCAGGTTGTTTATTTTTTATTCTGGTTTGGTAGCAGGGGCAGAGTGTTTTAGCATATTTTGCATTTTATGTGTTTTTTACTTAGTTCTGCAGATTTTACTGCACACAATGAAATGCAGGGTGCCCCTCCACAAGTTGTAGGGAATATCACAAGTCCAACTCAGGGACATTTGCTACCCCATCTCCTACTCATACATTTTCTCATGCGACCCATTGTCTGGACTCTGAGCCTTTGTGCTTGGGACTTCCTCCCCGCAGGCATCCTAACTGCACTGCTTTGTGTTCCTGTATGGATCATGATGGCTCTTTACCTGTCAGTTGTCCTGTGACTTGTAGACCAGTGCCCCATGCACAGGGTGCTGGGAAATCCTTGGAAAGTTAGTGAATGAACAAACAAGCATACTGAACGATCATAATCATAGGCAGCATGTAAAGAACACTAAAGATTCAGAGGAGGAAAAGATGCTGCATGGCTTGAGAGGTTGGTAGCCTTGGATGATGAAGGTAGTGGACAATATGGCCTTGAAGAATAGATGAGTTTCCACATAGCCGTGCCAGGAACAGCATTTACAGTGAAGGGAACTGCAAGAGCAAAAGCAAAGAGAGAAGTTCTGGATAGGTCTAGAAAACTTTAAAGCATACAGTTTGCCATGAAGGTAAGACTTGAGAATTATACTTAGTGAAGGCAGAAAAGAATACTATTTTATTGAATTTTGAATGGCTGGTTACAGACTTTATACTTAATTTGTAAAGCAGCAGGGAACCATTGATAGTTCTGGAGAGGGTAGTGACAGAACAGAGGTCATTTCTAGGACACTTCAGCAAACAGCTGGGTGAGATGGGACAAGAGGGACAGCCTTCAGGGGGACTGCTTGAGAATCCAGATGAAAGGAGCTGAGCATCTGAAATAGAGTTATGGCATGAGCCTGTTGGACAGTGTCCTTCTGAGATACTTGATATGTGTAAGGCAATGTGTGATACAGATGTAAGTGCTCAAGCATAACGACAAAGTGAACACCTGCCAACCTCCCACCCTGCTTAATGAGGGGTGAGCCTTGCTGCTACTGTCCAAGCCCCCCGAGAGTCCCTCCCGGGGTTAAATCCCCACACTGAGTGCCCTGAACCTTTTGGTTCATCTGCTGCCAACTTTCTTTATAGTTGTGCTCTATACAGATAGATTTTTATGCAGTGGATTTAGTTTGGCTTTCTCTGACCTTTGTGTATTAAAATCATATCATACATCATTCTTCAGCTGCTCTGAAACTTATCAGTACATTTCTAGGATTCATATATTTTGATGCCTGCACCTATAGCTCATTTATACTGCTGTAATAAACCGCAATTTATTTATCAAATTTCATGCTAATTCGCGTTAACCTACATTTGCATTGTTTGCTTTTTGTTATTGCTGTTTTAGGTTTTTGGGGGAAGGGTGTTTATTGGTTTGTTTTGTTTTTTGAGACAGGCCAGGCCTAGCCTCAACCTCATGATGATCTTCCTATCTCAACCGCCCGAATGCCGGGATTACAGGCCTGTGTCGCCACACCCAGTTTTTTTTTTTTTAACATCAACACAGCCATGAATACTTTTTACATACCTCCTGGCACATGTAAGAGGAGCTGCTTTAGACTATACATTTAGTCTTTGGGTCTCTGGCTGACAGGGTAGACACCTGTTCAGCTTTACAACACAATGCCAGTTGTTTTCCAAAGTGATTTTACCAGTTTACCCTCCTCCCACCACCTGTAAGTTTGTATTTCTCCACATCCTTGCCAATCTGGATACTGATGGTTAAAGATAAGCCTCCATCGGGCTCAAGACCACTCAGTTTCAACAAGAAGAAACACACAGTACCCATGACAATAGGAAGATCTTTTTCCAAACATATTTGAGGCAAAGTGCTTCTATTGCTACCTGCTCACTAAACCTCTCAACCTTCCAAAGGGTTTAGATGGAAATTTATGTGCTGACCTTCTCCAGCCACAACGTGGCTTCTGTGGTAACATCTATTTTGCTAGAATAGGACTAAGTCATCCATCCGTTTCCCCCCGCTCCCCACCGTCCTGCCCCTTTTCTCATTTGTGTGTGTGTGAATTTATTCTGGACGCTCTTTTCAAATTACATGTGTCAGTTTGATGAGCTTGTGGTTTTCCATGTTGTTCCAAGATTTATGCGGGATAGTTGCAGAGGAGAAGGTGATTGAGCGAGGGGCTTTTTGCTGTGTCGGCATAATGTGGTAGATAATGTTGTCACGCCCGAGGCTGTCCTCGGACGCCACACCAAGTTAGCGGGAAAGCCGGCTGTCTTGTTTCATTGCCCTCATCTCGTAGATGCTATTCCATCTACGAGCTCCGAGATTCAATGTCCTTCGTCTTAAACGTACCCAAAATACTTAACTCCAGAGGTGCAGCCCAGTGTACCGGGGGCTGGAGGCAAGACAGGAAGGCGTACAGAGATCCAAGTGAAAGAGATTCACCTTTTCCCAAAAGAGCAGTGACTCCCACTGAAACCCCAGGATTTTGGTTTTTTATCGTTCTTGTCTGAGTGGCTTCAGGCACTGGCAGAAAAGAGCACTCAGGAAAGAGTGGAATTGTTTGAAAAGCTGCTCAGAAGGACTCAAAAGTCAAAATTCACATCAGGCAACCAAAGAATCGGTGATTGAGGTGTACACTGTAGAAGTGCTGGGAATGTCTGGGTCAGATCTGAAAGGAGGGGTAGTAAATACGACCTTAAAGTCTTGCCTGCGAATCCCTCCCTTCTGCCCCCACTGCACCTGTTCCCTTCCTGACAACGGGAAAGTCGGAACGGAACTTGAAACTCTGGCCGTCTTCCTAACCCCGGAGGCAGTCCATGGGAGGACAGGAGAGTTTCGAGACCTGTCTTTGGGCTTCCTGCAATTAGCAAGTGCTGAGTAAATGTTTATTTCAGAAGGGAAGCCCAGAAATATCTGTAATTAATACTTTGAGATGGTTTCTGTTGAACACAGTTAAGTAAACGCCGGGAGGCTGTGTGGGTGGGACCTGTGCCGAGGCGTCCTGTCTGAAGAGCGTTAAGAAGCTGGGAAGGGTGGGCTTCCTGTCTGGCCTTCTCGGAGCGCTGCCCTGCAATGCCTGACACGGATGGCAGTGACATCAGCGCACGCAGGCACTGCATGATTGATTCTGCCATGTAGAAGACAGAGGTGGATTTCTGTCCACTTCTATTAACATCAATGTTTTTAGACATGTCATCTTGATGGATTTCAGTTCTCGCGTGATGGAAATGCTTGAGAGTTCTGTAAAATTTCCTCCCAGTTTATGTAATAATGGGAACGAAGGCTTCCTATAAAATACGTCCTCCTTTTCCTTCCCCATCACTCAGGTAGCTTGAGAGGCAAAAGAGAGTCTTTATAAAGTTGCCCATAGCGAATGTTCTTATGCTGTCCACCTCATCCTCCTCACCCCATGCCCCAATTCTGACAACCAGCCACCTGGTTGCCTGCATTTTAATAAAATGCACATTTTAAGAAAATGCAAAAAGCCATTTTTTGGTGGGCATAGCCAAGGGCGCCGTCCCTGTACCTGACCGTGGGTTGCAGGTCTACAGCATCTTCTCTCATGCATCCCTGCTGGAATTGGAGGCCCTCGTAGAAGTTCAAGTGACTCTGAAGAAACTTAAGATGCTCAGACTTTAGGAACAGACTTCCGTCGCAAACAAATGGAGTGTGCCTGCTAGGCCTCCCCCTGGTGTGCCTGCTGAATTGGGTGTACTCAGAGGATTATGGTACCCAAATAGGATTTTTGCAGGCTGAGTAAGAGAGGCCCCAGGCCTGTGGGATGGTGTCTGTAGCTGCAGCTGCGGGCTGATTATCTGACTGCCTGTGCAGGGGAGACCGCGGAGCTGACCTTGTCTCTCTTTAGCATGAGTCATGGCTAATTGGTCAGCTGCCCCAGGAGCTCAGAGGCGGGAGCTCAGCGTGCTCTGTAGTGACATGGCCTGTGACCTACTGGAGGTCTGACTGTCCTAATTTGGTTCCCCCGGCTGCCTCCCTGTCTGGAAGAGAGGATCAGCAAGAAGCTGCCGTTAGCAGTTTGGAAAAGATGATTTCAGAATGTGTTTACCTCATTTTCCCTAGCCCAGACTACCTCACCCTCCCCTATAGTGGCTCCTACATGAAGCTGAAATTAAAAAGTGCCATAAATGTCAACTACTCAAAATGAAAAATAAGCTTTAGATACAACTAATTATGCTTAAAATAAATTTTTGCTCAGAAACTGGTTAACACATAGAAAACAGAGCAAATTAGATAAGTAAAAAGAAGAAATCAAAAACTACTTGCTTCCCCACTACCTAGAGACAAGTACTATTAGCATTTGGTAGATAACTTTTAGGGTTTTTTTTCCCCCGCCATATATGCATTTGTGTATGTGCCTGCTCCATTTTATTTTTGTTTTTGCATAACTGGGGCACACTGTTTTATATTCTGCTTTTTTTGTCTGCACTGAATGGAAAATTTTGCATAACAATCTTTTGGTTGTTTTTTAATTTTTTTGGTACCGGGAATCGAACTCAGGACCTTGTGCTTGCCAGGCAGGTGCTGTGTCACTGAGCTACATCACCAGCCCCTTTTGGTGGTTTTGAACACTTTTCCATCACATCATTTTAATGGCTGCATCTGAAAGTGGCTGCACTGTGGGATAAGTGAACTTGTCACTGATTTTCAGATACTTAAACTGTTTCCAGTTTTCTGTGTGCAGTTCGTATGAGCAGCTCTACCGTGAGCTCCTTTGACAACAGAATCTTTGCGCATCTCCCCGATTGTTCCTGTAGAATATCCTTCCCAAGGAAGAACCGCAGGGCTGGGTGGTGTGTGCACTTAGCACTCCCCGCATTGGTGTGGAAGCCTCATCTCCCAGAACCCTTGTGTTAACTGGCCTTCCCCCCGAGCAGTGGGTGTAGGAGTGTGCTCCTGTCCCCAAGCCCTTGCCATTGCTCTGCGACTCCTGTGCTTGTCTCTCACAGATGAAAGCGGTCACTCCTTGTTTTGCATCTATTGCATTACTCGTAGTATCCAACATTTACCTAGAACCTAGTACACTGCCTCTCCTTTGCCAGACCTCTAATGTATGACAACAGCTCAGCTTTACTTAAGTTTATTCAGAATCCTAAACCCTACCACACCTTTCACAAAACAGGACTGTAAAACCAGGGTTTTTTCTTCTTTTTTTGTTAATACCACTTGTCTTAGTTACTTTTCTCACTGCTGAGCCAAAATGCCCAACACCCAAATGTTAAGGGAGGAAAGGTTTATGTAGCGCACAGTTTGTAGAGGTTTCAGTCCATCATCAGCTGGCTCCAAAGCAAGGTGACTTGGCAGAGGGGCATCACAAAGGAGAAACAGCTCATCGCAGGCAGAAGACAGCAGAAGTGAGCAAACAAGGGATAACCACAGCCCTTTCTATCCCTTATGTCCAGGTTACTCAAGGCAAGTGGAACTCACACCCTTAATCCTAGTGCCCTTGAGACTAGCACTGCACCATGAATCAATCCCAGCATCACACACTCTAGATCCAGCCACCTCTGCAAAAGCCCCAGCTATGACTGCAGGAGGCTTTGGTGGAACATCTACACACAAGCTGTAACAACACTTTTCTCTTCTGAGTGAAGAAGGAAGGATTCAAAACCCAAAAACTGCTAGACAAGTCCTGGCAGCCCTCAGAGCACCATTCCACCAGTAGAGGTAGCTGTTGTATCAGCCAGCTCCCAGCCTTATCTCTGCGTTCAGCCTTTAAGATAGAAAATAAATCAGTGCATGCAGTATTTTTAACAACAGTATTTATTTAAAAAAAAAACAAAACAAAACTCATGATTTTGTGGTTTTAAAAAACTACTTATTTTATGCCCTTTTCTGTTTGAATATAAAGCTCTCTGAATATTAGTAAGAGCCAGTATATGAAATTTATTATTAATCATCTATTTTTAGGCATGAAGCCTTGCTGTATTATGTTTTAGCAGCAGAAACTGGAATTGAAGTGTCACAGACAAATTTAGCACACATCTGTGAGGAGAGGCCAGTAAGTAAATGTATTCTTCTCCAAGTAGAAGCTCTAAGGTTAAGGATAATGAATTGAGTTGTACAGAGACGAAATTAGTCAGTTGGCCGAAATATTCATGAATTAACTTTTTCTCCCCTTTACCTCTTAGGACCTGGCTGGGAGATACTTGGGTGTGAATTGTGTTTGGAGATACTATAATTTCTCTGTTTTCCAAATCGATGCTCCTTCATTTGGTATGTATAGAAAAACGAGTGCTAAATTGAAGCATTGGAAGCTTTTAATCTTTAGTAACAAGGACCATTGAGCAGCTTTGGGGGCAGTGTGATATTTCCAAACAATTAGGAAAGAAAGTGAAAAACCCTTGCTGTTAAGGTCATGGCTCAGTTGCTCCCAGCCTCCGGCCATGTGCCTTTCCTGTCTCTTCTCCGTGGCGCGCTGGGACCACCATTTCTTCCAAACTAAACGCATTCCCAAGAAAAAGCCGACTTCCGGCCCCAGTCTCTTGCCCTTTTGCCCTGGGATGTGTTTCTGGGTCCTCCTGCCCTGCTGGGTGCTCTGTGGAAGGGGCTGCAGCGGGACCTGCACCCCCAGGCTCCCCTGCATCTGGTGAGCCTCAGCCAGTGGCAGGCTTGGGTGCAACTTCAAGGTAGGAGGAGCAAAGGTGAAGCCCAAGTATTTCCCCGCCTCTCCCTGCCTTGTGCCCTGTTTCTGGCAGTGGCTACATCTCCACGGGTCCAGCCCCCACCTGGAGCCTCTGCCCACTTTGATCTCAGTCTGCGCAGCACTATGAGGCTCTGGGAATGTCCCCGCCACCCTTTGGCCCTCCAGCCCTTGGGAAGACAGTGCTTCCTTTGGTGCTCACCTCTGACCTCCCACTCTCTCCCGTTTGCCTTCTAAGTGCTTCCGACACGTGCAGCCACTTCCCATGATGAAACCCTCTTTGGAGCTACCTGAGCTGGATTCTGGTTTTCTGATTAGGCATCGGCTCATAGCAGGGCTCTCAAACAGATGTTTTTCCTCCCAGCAAAAACAAAATACATGGCTCAGACCGAGTAGAGAGATACAAGAGTCATCCAACATAGGCAGCAAGATTGCAGATGTGAGAGAGAGGACCGAAAACAACCTTGGCAGAGGGGCTGGGAGTCTCACTAATCAGCCAAGCTGCTCAGGGCAGCTACCTGAGAAACACAGAGTGTCTAGAGATGGAGGTATTGGAGCAAAAGCTTGCTTCTTTACTCCTGACACAAAGAAGCATAAACGCTCCATTTGATAGTGTAACGGGAAAGCTTAGCCATGAGTGAATGCGCCAATCCTTTAAAACCCTGGAAAAGTAAATCCACTTGACCTATGGATGTGTTTTGCGCAGCATATTTGAAAATGGGAGACCTGTACTACTATGGCCACCAAAACCAGTCCCAAGACCTAGAGCTGTCCATGCAGATGTACGCACAGGCAGCGCTGGATGGAGACTCCCAGGTAACCACTAACAAAAAGCCCTCCCAGCCTTTCCTGCATCCCGTGCACAGGCTGTGGAGTTTGCTGTCTTTGTTTATCTGTGTGCACATGCCCATGACAGCAACTCCCCAGGACAAGAGCCATGATGGGAACCCTGGCTGAGCACCTGCTATGTTCTGCACACCTTTCTCACAGCAGCCCCAGGGCTGGAGCTTTGTACCAGTCACATAGTCCGAGATACAACAAGGTGATGAATTATTCAAGGCCAGATAATCAGATCATAGGCAAAGCTACAGAGCCTCGCCTTGGGTCTCTGGCTCCAACCCCAAGGTGACTCTACTAGATGCCATCAAATTAACTCACAAGATGGCAGCTCAGGACCCTAGAAGTGTGTCCGCAGTGCAGAGTAGTTTGCATGGACAATTGAGCCAACTCTTAACGTGACAAGACTATTCTCAGTGACTTTTTTTGGAAACTTTGTACTTTGAAATAATTGTGAATTTATGGAAAAACTGCACAAAGAATTTAGAGTTCATGTGCACCCTCCACTTGACTTCTTTCGGTGTTACTTCACATAGCCACACACAGTCATTGACAGAGATTAACACAGGGACGGCGGCATCCCCCACACTTCAGACTTTCCTTGGATTTTCCGCAAATGCCCTTCCTCTATTTTAGAGCCCAGTGCAGGAGCCCACGTTACAGTTCATTGCCATCTTTCTTTCCAGTGTTCTCCACTGTATGACAGCTCTTCAGCCAGCTCTTATTTTCATGACCTTGATGCTGGTCGAATATTTTGCAGAATGCCCCTCAATTTGGGTCTGTCTTCTCTGAGTTCTCATAAATTGAGTGAGGTTATGTATTTTGGGTCACGAACACTAAAGATGCTGCGTGTCCCCATCACACCAGGGCTATGTGATGTCCCTTCGTCTTACCACTGGCCAGGGGAGTTTTAACCACCTGACTAGGAGGTTTCTACTGGCGTAAGGAGGATTCCATTGGACAGTAAATATTTTTCCCTGCCTGATTTAAAAATATCTTGGGAAGATAGTTTGTGACTATGCAGATATTCTGCATGTTCTCAAAGTATTGCACAGGAATTTCAACAGACTTTGCCTGCAGCAATTGTTAGTATGGTGTTCTAATGAGAATTCTCGACTCCCCCTGTTCCTCCCCACTTGATAAGTGTAATTCTCCTGTGAAGATCTCAGGGTCATGATCACAACGGAAGTTGGAATAGTTGTTACTCGCAAACACAAGTTTCGGGTGTGTACTTTAGAATCTGATCACAGAGCCCAAGCTGGAAACTCCTCCCTACTTTGGTCTTTTGTTGTTGTTCTTGTTCTTGTTCTTGTTGCTGCTGCTGAAGTTGTGACATCAGAGTGGTTATGTGCATGGGTTGAAAGCCCACATCTCTCCACTCAGAGCTACTTATACGTGGTGAGTCACTAAACCTGAGCCTCCACTTTCCCATCTGTCGACTGGAATAATAATAACACCTGCTTCATTGGACGTGAAGGCTTCATGAGGTGCTTGGTGTAAAGATCTGAGCCCAGTACCAAGTTCACTTAGTCAACATCATCTCTATTCTCTTATTATTTCTTCTGCAACAAAGGAGTTGCTACTATGAGGTTTACTGTGGAAACAAACTCCCTTAGAAGATATCTGCCGTATTTTAAAACTAGGTCTGGATAATTTTATTTTCAATTTTGATTGTTATTTTTTTAGGAAGATAATAGGGCAAAAACAATACAGGATAATGTTAAAAGCAATCAGAGTGCATCTAGAATTCCATGGCAAGGGCTTGTACTCGTTCCTATCCACAAGTTGCCTTCCGGCCTCTGCCCACTGGCACATGTATCTGTCATGTCTACAGCACACATGCCACTCTGAAACTCTGTCTTATCACCAACCGTGGCACTGCGTGTATTTTATTACCATCTCTTTACTGCTTCTCTTATCAGCTGCCCATATTCCATCGAGATGATGGACTGTAACTTCTTATGCTTTAGCTGTTGGTGGGTGTTCATTCTGCCATTTGCTGACTTATTCATTGATTCAACACGTATTTGTGTAATCTGAGACAATGCTTAGTGATGGAGACATAGGTGAAAAGGCGACACTCTTGTCTTTCTGGGATTTGTAGCCTGCCAAGGAAGACTTGGAGGTCATTTTCTGTTGTGTGGCAGCTATCACAAGGGCTACAATGACCATTCATTAATTGTGTTCTGAAAGATAGTGTTATTGACTCACTGTCAGTCGTCGTATGAGTGCATGGTAGTATATTCTACTTCTGTTTCTGAAAGGGTTTCACAGTTAATACCCAGCTATGGCTCAGTAGAGGTGGGTGACTGAAATCTTGTCAGCAGTGGATGATTTAATTTCACTAATTGAATAACTACAAGTTGATACTTCCTGATTCTTTTAAATGACATTTATTTAATTATTAGTGAAGATGAACACTTTCACACATATTTGATGATAATTTACTCAGCATTTTCTTTCATGTGAATGCTCTATTCTTCCTCTTTGCTGGTTTATCTATTGGAGGCTTGATACTTTTTTATTCAAGTCATAATTAGTTCTTCATATATTGGCAGAATATATTCGTAGATAATGAAATGTAAGCTATTATAGTGTATACAAATGTTCTCCTACTCTGTTTTCCCACCGTTTGATCTTATTTTTCCACTGGTCAGAACCTTTTAAATTTTTCATGTTTTAAAAACTTTTCTTCTAATACTTCAACTTTTAGATGTTGCTTTCTGTCAGTAAAAGAGCATTCTGTGTTGTGCTGTGGCTGCTGTGTGTATTTGCGTGTGTGCTGCACATTCACCTTAAAGATACTTGACACTTCAATCTCTTGAGAGGTTATTTGGCAGCCTGGTGGAGAGTGTGGACCCTGTCGGTTCACACTAGAACCCCAGCGCTGCCACTTTCCAGCTGTGTGATCTTGAGCAACTTCCTTAATCTTCCCTTACCTTAGTTTTGATTTGTGAAACAGGGAAGATAATAGTGCCACCTTCTATCCCTTGTTATGAGGGATAGAAGCAAGTATAGTGTTTATACAATGGACCAATGCCTCACACAGAGCAAGTTCTTAGAAACGTCAGCTCAAATTGCGTTCATCAGGATTGCCCACTCAGGATGATTGTGAGAGTCCTGGTATGGATGATCTGGTGATTTTTGTTTAGATTATTGTCACTGGCAACCGAAAGGCCATAGGAAGGAGGATATAAACCATGAAAACATGACCGTGAATTCTTTGAAGGGCAACAATCCCATTTCATTGTCAGGCTGTAGTACCACACCAGTTTTTTGTTTTTGTTTTTGTTTTTTTTGACCTTTGGGTCTGGTTAATCTGCCGTCCTCCAGACAGTGTAAATGCACTCGTCCTCTATGACACATCTCTGATGTCAGGCTCCTGAACTGTGCTTTTTAAACTGGACCTGCACAGCACAATAGGTAGATCCTACCTCTGCGGGTCGAAAAGGAAGGGGCAGGAAAATGTACCGTAGTGGGGATTTGAGCTAAGAGGAGCCAAAGATTTCCATACTGACCTAGGAAAGCTGAAGAAGGTGCCTGGACATTACCTTGTGCACGGGAGAGACACCACATCAGGCATCAAGAACACCCGGCCACAGAAACAGTGTCAGACCTCTGCAGCCTGACAGTGACCAGAGACACAGCCCATAGGTGACAGACATGACCTTCACTCAGTGTGCCGCTTTGGTTGCTGACCCCAGAGCACGTTTTCCAGCAAGTTCAGCTTTGAGAGCACCAGTGGGAAAGGACAGATCTCCCGGTTCACTGGTTGCTGAGCAGATGGGACGCAGCAGCCTTTGAAAGCCTTCTGGTTCTCCTGGAAATAAATTTCTCAGATGCACATATTTAGGGAAACAATTCATCAATAGAGGTGACAAAACCATCTGGCTCTGGGGACTGCAAAAAAAAATTAGAGGTTGTAAAAGTTTACATTCTGATGAAGGGTGTATGTCTGGCTTTTATTATAAGGAGTTAATGAGTTCTGTCTGTGGCCTATTTTTAGGGATTTTTTAACCTGGCCCTGCTAATTGAAGAAGGTGCTATAATCCCACACCATATTTTGGATTTCTTGGAAATTGATCCAACAGTCCATTCTAATAACATCTCCATTCTCCGAGAACTGTATGAAAGGTGAGTTCAGAACCTCTTTAATACTGATAGGTCTAGGGGTACCCAAGTGAATGGGTGGTGTTTGCCTTTTGGTCCAAGTTAGCCTTCCCATTGGTTTGAGATGGTAGGTGTTAGAAAAAGGGCCCAAGATTTGCTTCTGTTAGAGAATACTCAGCCAGACCCAAATCTCTCTCTTTTCTGGTACGTGAGGCCAAGATATAGAATATGCTTGCTCTGAAGTTCAAGTGCTGACCCAGATTTTCCATGAAGTGGAAAAAGGAATGCATCTGATTAGCCCATGCTTCTCTGAAAGATAGGGAGGCTTTCCCACATTCGGACTTTGGCCCAGCACTCTGACAGAAGTATTACCCTGGCAGGCCCTGTGCTGACTCCTCCTTAATAATTAAAGACGTGATGAGAGGAACCTTTTTTCCGAGATTTTTGCCAAGATCTCAGAATTCCAGGTCAGGCCGTAACAACGTTTACGTTACCAGGCTTTACGTCTCTGCTTCTCCTCCTGAGTGTGCTCATTTGTGCAAAAGCTGAAGAGTGTAGATTTGAGATGTGAAGGGGCCAGTCATAAGTAGTGCCACCAACGCCCATGACACATGCGGATGCCTGGGCTTTGTCACAGGTGCTGGAACCATAGTAACGAGGAGTCCTTCAGCCCCTGCTCCCTGGCCTGGCTGTACCTCCACTTGCGGCTTATCTGGGGCGCCGTCCTGCACTCTGCCCTGGTAAGTGTGTCATCCCCCAGCCCTGCCCTCTGCTTCCTGCCCTTTGTCAGTCACCTGATACATACCTTGGATGTTTGCAGATCTACTTTCTGGGAACCTTCCTGCTCTCCGTATTGATCGCTGGGACCGTGCAGTATTTCCAGTCTGTCTCAGGTAAAGATGTATTAAAGAAGGCCAAGGCAGGTTGAAAAGCTAGGGATTCTTTTTCCCTGCTAAGGAAATGATACTCTTCCTCCTCGCACCCTTGGTCATACATTACCTTCTTTCCCAAGGGTGGCCATGCACTAGATGGGCCCGCTGAGGGCATCTCATAATCCCTGCCTATAGGGAGCCCACAAAGCTATGAAATTTTTCAAAGTAAGATTTTTTTAAATGAGTTTTAAAAATTGAACTAAAATGTCTGTCAAAACTCTATGTGCCTGAAAAGTCAGTTCCAGAGCCCTCTCCTGCGGGAAACTTTCCCATCCATTCTGGTTGAGCAATCAAATGTGTGAGAAAACACTCATAGTGAATAATCACAGCCAGACACATGGCCTCAGAGAGAGACACCGAGGAGGGCTTAGTCTAGCTTGCTTTCCACTAATTACTATTATTTTTCTGAGCCAGCATGAGGTAGTAATTAAGGGGATAGTGCCCCCAGTCACTTCTATTAGAATCTAGACTTGGTTACTCATTAGCTGTGTGATTTATGGCAAGTTACCTATCCTTCCTGATCTCTCAATTTTCCATCCATCAAATGAGTTCTAATAGTAGCTACGTCTCAGAAAAATAAAATGAAAATAGTTAAGTGAGAAAACAACACAGAACACACTTACCAAAATGCCAATTACAGTTAAATGTTAGCTGTTGTATTTATCTGGTATATAAAACCCTTTCCATAAATGTGAGTTATTATACTTATCTTCCCTGGTACACTATAGGCTGAATTGGTTCTGGCAGGCTTTGATCCAGTCATTTATGATACTTCACACTTAGTAGGTGCTCAGGCCTGCTTTTGGTGGGAAATTCTTGTTTTCCGCCATCTTGGATGGCTACAAAAGCACAGAATAGCTAACAAAGACCAGCAGAGGAATTTACAACTGGAGCAGATGCGGAATTTGAGCTTTCAAATAGTGGTTATTTGGGTAGGAGATAATGAGAAGCTAAAGGAATGCAGGATACCTTTCCTTCCTTCAAGAGAAGGAATCTCTGAGAGGCAAAATGGGGATCGTTTCTTCTGATTTACCTGAGGAGCTTCACAGGGAGTCATCTACAGCCCCTCCAGGTGTAACTCTTCCTCCTTGTCCCTTGCCAGTGAATAAATCTGCCTCATGCAAATTCCATCCCATTTCTAAATTTGTTTCCCGGTAGGCCACATTTATTTTGCATCTTGTCAGTATTTGCCATTTCAAATTATCTCTGTCATTTTTACTCTGTAGAAATATTGTCATGATTACTACAAATGCAGTTCCCTTAGAGGAGCTGAAAATTGCCTTTATGATTTTACACCAGCTGGTAGCCATGAAAATTCATGGGCTGGTGAAACTGCTTTTATCAGAAGTCGTCACGTTTTCCTGTCTTCATGTCTTCATTATCAGTCCCTCTGCATTCTTGTCTCCCTGTCCCTCTTGTCCTTTGTTATATTTTTCCCTTCCTGTGTCTCCTTGGTTCTTTCACACATTTTCCTTGTTTTCGCAAACTTTTCCATTTCCTGCCTTCTTCCCTCCTGACCAACGCAGTGAAGACTCTATCTGAATAAGATCTTAAAACCAATTTCATTCTGTACCCTTCCTTTGACAGATGAGGAAACTGAGGCCAGAGAGCTGAAGTTGCCTGTCCCATTAAGGAAACAGAAGCTGAGAAAGGGTGTAGGGCCATAGAATTTTTTTTTTTTTTTTTTTTTTTGGTTTTTTTCCGGTACCGGGAACCGAACTCACGACCTTGCGCTTGCCAGGCAGGCGCTTTGCCGCTGAGCTAAATCCCCAGCCCCTGGCCATAGAATTTCAAGCTGCTTTTCAGAATCCCGATCCTTTCAAACAGTGGCTGTTGACTGTCTTAAACCCATTGCCCCATCACATCAGGAACATTTTGTCACACTTGTTTCATACCTTGAAACGATGTTCATGATAATTAACCTACCCACACACATATTTTTTAAATGAATCCAGGGCCCTAGCTGCAATATAAAGGAGAAATAAAAAGAAACAAATGGTAATAAAATAGTATCTATTTCCATATGTAAATTCTAGCCCAATGCTTCTGAATGTTAATATGTGCACAAATCCACAGGGATCATATTAAAGGCAGATTTTGATTTAGAAGGTATGGCGAGGGGCTCTAGGATTAGGCATTTCTAATAATTCCTCACTTTGACCAGGAAGGGCAGTCTTCATCCTGAAGTAAGTGTGCCGGTCACTTGGAAATAAGAAGGTCCTCCCTCAGCACAGTGGTGCAAGGGAGAAGGCATAGAGCCCTTGGGGGAGTGGATGCCAGGCTGCTCAAGGCCACAGCTTTTGCCACTGCATCTCCGCAATGGTGCCCAGGTCTGTGACTGCCCAGGGGCAGGGAGGGACAGTGGGAGGTGCTGCAGCGAGCACAATAATGACCTTTGGGTGCTGGCTCACAGTCTTAGAAAAGGACCTGGAACTAAGGAGCCTCCCATGTGCATGTGCAGCATGGGATAAGGACTGTAGCTAGAGGTTAGGGATCTTTGTCATTGCATTATTTCCAGGCAGCTTTTAGAACTGACGATGTTATCATTGGGGCTTTCCATTGGGCTGTCTGTCCAGTGTTCATTCAGCTCTAATTTCTTTCGTTTTCCTCCTGAGTTTGTGTGCTTGGTGGCCTATTGTCAGCACGTCATGGCCTCTACCACACTAAGCTCTCCTGCACGTAGAGGGCCAGCAGTGAAGGCCAGTAGCTAACAGCACCGGCCAAGCAAGAGTTGACTTGCCAAATTCTGGCTCTGCCACTAGCTGTGTGACCCAGAACAAGGAAGGAATCCTGTCTGTGCCTCGGTTTCCTTGTCTGTAAAACAGCAAAAATCGTAGTGCACCTAATGCCTCCTGTAGCTGAGAAAACCAATTGTGATCACGTGTTCAGTGCTCAGAGCTCCCTAAATACTAGCTGGACACATCTCAGGAGTGATGAGCCATGGAGTGTTTTACCTGCAATTACAGCACGCCACCTCCAGGGGGCGCCTGCACTTACACAGTTTAGGGTTACCAGTGTTTCCCATGCTTTGCTGTGCTGTGAGACTCTAAAGCATAAGGCTCTTTTTTAAAGCATCTAAACAAAGCCATTGACTAATCTATCAAAAGTACCAACATGGTGCATAGCAGATATTGCCTGTCTCTTTGATGTCCTTTAAGGGAACTTGTTTTGATTACTATCTGGCAACCCACTGGGCAGCTCTGTCTTTCTGAGGCTAATGCCTCCCGGGCTTGTACAAAGGTCCCTGGGTTTGGGGTGGCCCTAGGGTTGCTTGATTGTCACCAGTCTGAGAGCAGAACACTCATCACCCAGGCGATGTATTGGACGTGCAGCTTCAGGGTTACAGGGCAGCTCCGCCTCCTCGCCAAAGCTGAGGACCACTGAGCCTTGTCTGTTTCCAGTTGCTGCAGAGGCACTTGGGGGCTGCGCTGCAGTGCAGCCCGGGCCACAGACAGGCTCGACCTGCTCCCAGATGCCAGAAAGCTCTGTTCTCTGCCTCGATGACCTCAAAAGCACTTTCTCTCTCCCTGCCTGTCGAGGGTGCCAAGCAGTATTACCTTAATGGAGCGGGCTTTGGAAAAACAAAAAACATCTCAAAGTAAAATGTATCTAGAACCACCTCCATGAATGAACAAACCAAAAAGCCTGAGCTCAGCTGGAAGAGTCCTGTCCCACTGTGTGTTCAGCACCCCTAGTCTGAAAATCTAGCACCCAAAATTCTCTAAAATCCAAAATCCGAAACACTGTTGAGCACCAACATGATGCCACAGATAGAAAATTAGGCACTCGACCTCATAGGGTGGGTTGCAGTGGAGATGCAGGCCCACTGTTGTAGGAAGTCGCCCTCAGGCTGTGTGTGTAAGGCAGTTATGAAACACACATGAACTTCACCTTCAGCTCTGAGGCCCACCCTTGTTATGTGTATGTGAATATTCCAAAACCGGGTGGTGGGGGAATCTGAAATCTCTGACTTCGGGAAGGCTGTCCCTGACACGTTGGGGTAAACTTCTTATCTAAATGCAGCACGCTACATACGGCGAGGTCTGCAGAGCCCTAACTCCTGGATACAAGGTAACCCACATGGACGCCAGCCTGAGATGACACTGGCCATTCACACCGTCTCCTCCTCTCTGGCTAAATGGTTAGCCTGCTGTTCTTTCTTAAAGAGTGAGATGATTGAGCAAGATTAATTAAACTTTTCTCTGCTCTTTTCCTGTCTTCTACGTTTCTAGTTAATGAGGTTTCTACTGAAGTACAGTAAAATGTCACAAAATGGTGCGCACGAAAAAGACACAAGCCTTGAAGTCAGATCTCATGGCGAGACCCCGTCCTGTCTCGCCCCATCTCACTACCCTTGGCCCCCACCAGTGTCTCCACATGGAAGAAATGTATCAGAACAGGAATCTTATGCCTACATTGGGCCCTACTAGATCCAGAGCCCCAAATGAAATAGGCTAGATCTTATTCATAATATTAAATTTCAGCAATACACCTCCCCGCCTCATTCTTACAAACATTCCACCATTTCAGGATTAACCCATTATATGCTCTGGGTGTGGTGGCATATCCCTGCAATCCCAGCACTCAGGAAGCTGAGGCAAGAGGATCACCATGGGTTCAACCCCAGCCTGGGCTCCATAGTGAGTTTGTGGTCAACCTAAACTATATCGTGAAACCCTGTCTCAAAAACAACCACCAAAGGATTAACCCAATATGTTCCCCTGTGTTTTTATTGTATACTCACATCTCGTCAGCTGGCAAGCAGATGTTTTTTCTACAGTGGTCTGCAACAAAAGCCAGTAAACTTTTTCAGGAAAGGGCCAGATAATAAACATTTTGGGCTTCGGGGCTGTTATGAGTCCACTCTGCCAGAGGAGCTTAGAGGCAGCCATCTGTGGTTGAGTCTCCAATAAAACTTTACTGTGGACACATTTGAATTTCACCTGTTTCTCCTGTGACACAAAATAGTATTCTTTGGGGTTTTTTGTTCAGTTATTTAAAATGTGAATTCTCAGATCCTGAGCCATACAAAAGCAAGGGAGCCGCTGCAGTTGGGGCCAGCTCCTGATTATTCTCGCTAATGTACAGAAAGTGGCCCCCTAGAAGGCAGGCAATCCACAAATCACTTCTGTTTGGCTCTGGAATATTCTCTGTAATTCTTTAAAACAGCACGCTGATTTTCCTGGTTACCTTGATTCCAGTCCAGTCATAAAATTAGCACGCGTTCCAGGTGAGCAGAGACAAAGAGGCCGCTTTAAAATTAGGATGGGCAGCAGGGGACTGGAGGGAGAGGCTTCGCACGCAGCTGGTAACAAAGGGACGCAGCGCCTCTATTGTACACTCACCAGAAGGTTTCAATGGGGGCGATGCTAATTAGGCATTCCTTCTCCCTTTATACATTAGTGCTTTTTGTTTTAATCAGAAAACTGATTGCTGATTTATCTTGTTACCATGGTGACTTAAACATTCCCTGAGATTGAAAATCCAGGCTTGGTGCTGCATTAACTTCTGCACAAGACCAAAAAGAGAGGTCCTAGGGTCAGAGGGAGTCAGGATACCATCCGCTGCAAGCCCCTCAATTCACAGGGGAGGAGACAGAGGCAGGTGAGACGCAAGCACTTTGGAACTGCAACATCCACCTTCTGGTATCTACACCAAGGTCACCTGTTTGTCGCAGATAAATGAAACCTGCCCTGCAGGCGAGGTCTCGTGACTGCGGCAAAATGGTCTTTGTACCTCATGGACAGGTCTCCGGTCACTAAATCCCCAGCCAGGGTGATGGCTGTAATGACCCTAGAAATGCCACGCTGTTGCACACCCTGCCCCTTACCCTATCCTGCTCTTTCTGAGCAGTCTCTGGGCCACATCTGCTGCAGGTCTGGAAAGGGCACTGAGGGGAAGTCCTGTCCACGTCCGGGAAAGGCAGAGGCTGTGAGGCCCCTTCCGAGGCTTTCTGGAGGTGACCGTAGATATTAGAGGTATGAAAACCAGATTTTATGTAGGAATCAGATTGTCGGCATGGGAGCATCTTCTTAAAGTCAGTACATTTCAGGAAGGATATTTGAGATCTTTAAAAATGGCCCCAGTTCCTAAAAGCTTCATAAGACTACAATATTGCTCTGTTTAATGAAGATCACTTATAAAAGACAAACTGGTGATTATTTGTATGAACTAAGGCTGCCAAGCTGACTGACTGTACATCGCATGACTCCAAACTGCTAGCCCCATTTCACAGATAAAAGAAGCCATGGATAAAGCCAGATATGGTGGCGCAAGCCTGTAATCCCAGCACTAAGGAGGCTGAGACAGGAGGGTTGCCACAAGCTTGAGACCAGCCTGGACTACACAGTGAGTTCAAGGCCAGCCTGAACTATGTAGCAAGACCCTGTCTCAAAAAAAAAAAAAAAAAAAAAAAAGAAGAAGAAAAAAGAAAAGCCATCGTTCAGAGAAGTTAAGGGACTGGCTCAAGATTACCCAGCTGGTAAACATCAGAGCCCTTTGACCCCTGGTCTCTCTGGCTTTGAAGTTTGTGCTATTTTCTTAGGTTACTGGGGCCAAAAGTACTGCAGGCAGCCCGGGAGCAAATGCACCAACTCTTGTGTCTGCCCTGTAAGCCATGCGCCTGAAATTCATCTTTCCCCCTTTCCCCGGTGAACCAGTCACTAGTAGCACAAACATTCACCAGTGCCAGGCACTGTTCTAGCATGTTATATGCATGAACTCATTTAATTCTCATAATAACTCAACTCAGTAGAGATACTTTTCTCCATGCTTTTGGAGGGAGGGGAGGGGAGGTAGCCTGTCCAAGGTTACATGGCTATGAAAGACCAGAGAAGCCAGGTAGGTTCCAGAGCCCCTAGTCCTATCTGGAGCACTTCTTAGTCTTGGGGTTTAGCAGCCCTGGCATGGATGACATTTGGAGCCGGGTCCTCCTTTGTTGTGGGGCACCCTGTGCGTTCTAGGGTGCCAAGCAGCTTCCGTGGCCTCCACCCGCCAGATGCCAGTAGCATCCCCCACCTTGGGGTTATGATGACCAGAACAGCCCCTGGACATTGCCACTGAGCCGTGGGGCCAAAATCACTCCCATTCATCAATTTATCCAATTACTGATACAAAGTATAAAACTGTAAGTGTCTCTACCGTTGGTGGTCATCCAATCTCCTTACTGAAGATAGATTGACAATTAAACCTAGTAATTATGTTTTACAGCCCATATACACATTTATTTAAATAAAATAACTGACTCTAAATCTGGCACATTGTTCCAATGGAATATGAACATGAACAAGACCAACACTCCTTTCTAACTGCTTGCTGTGATTTATGGCTTGCATTGCATCAATATCATGGAGGAAAAAGATATGGCCACAGCTCATGAAACAGATCAGAAGTGTTTTGGGCCTGGAAATGTTGGTATAAATGCAGTAACTTTGAATCCTAGGATGTCAGAACCACTGGAGATCTTTGCACATCCATTCCAACCTGCCATGTTACAGAAAGGAGCACCAAAGTCCAAAGGACCTAGATAAGAGGTCCAAAGTTGCCTATTTAGTGTGGACTGCAAGCATCTCTCCCGGGTGTGCTTGGATGTCCCAGAATGCTCAGCGCTATTGTACCTGTGTCTTTGCAGACAACGGTTCCCCTCCAGTACCAGCCCGGGTCTCCCCAGACCCCACCGCTTCCACTGCAGGTCCACCTGTGACTCCAGCTGCAGGCGCCTCCGACCAGGACCAGCCCGCGGTCACTGGTAACCCAGAGCCACGAGGGTGAACTGCGCGCTCCAGGTCTCTGCAGTCCAAGGGAGTCCTCCCCATGGCTGGTACTGGAAGGCTGGGGCCAGGGCATTGTACTGACAAACACCTTAAAAATCCTGTTGGCTGGATGCACCTTTTGCACTCGGTGTCATTTCTTTTTCAATCACATTACGGGGATGAGCTCAGAGCAGAGAGTCGTTACACCAAAGGTTATCAAACAGACCCGAGCAACATCGTGATCAGAGGGCCTGTGGGGGAGGTCAGCTGGTCAGCACAGGCTTTGTTCCCGGTGACTGTGTTTGGGGAGTCACAGTTTGCCTTGTGGCACATCCGGATTCTTACACACACAGAGATATTTTAAAGAGTCTTTGTCCTTTGTTCATTCTCTTTTATCAAAGAACAGAAATTTGTGACTTCTCTACAAGATAGATAATGTCGCAGTACCCATGATTGCCACAGCCTGCTCTTCAGAATCCAACTGGCAGATTTCTCCCTGACTTCCAAAACCCAGCAGTTACAAAGCACCTTGAAATAAATAGTGAATGGCTGGAGACACCGGGATGGCAATGGCTTTGTAAATTGGTTTACATTTTTCTCCTCGAATTTTTCTAGGGTCATAGTGCTTCCAAATCATTTGATGACATTGTTGGATAACTTTTCTGTTTCAACTGCAATCCACAACATAACATCTAGGAAATTCTTGGTATTTAAGTGTAGTCTTCTCCGTGAATTACCCACTAGAATAGACTGGCAGCAGTGGGATATGCAGAAAACAAGCCTTTAGCTCATAGTTTCACCTCCTACCCTTGTTCCTGCCTGAGTCTGGGTAGGGGAGTCTGTGTGTGTGTGTGTGTGTGTGTGTGTGTGTGTGTAGGAGAGCAAGGAAAAGCAGAATGTCTGTATACTGTGAGCTGCTAGTGTAGTAAATAAACCAGTAATGCAATATTGTGGGTCCACACTACTCTTTGCACTACTTTATTTACAGTAGTAAATAAAATTATTTTTATACAGTTGACTACTGGAAAGTGACTTTTTCTTTTTCATAGGTATCGTGGTCATCATACAAAGTGCTAAGGTCCATGCATTCTCCTTAGGAGGTAAAAAAAAAGTCCTCCTGACAAGAGGGATTATCTCTGTAAGCCATTAACGTTTGCAGATAGGGAGGTGGTGGGCAGTTCTTCTGGGGATCCTGAGCTCGGATCTGGTCACCGTGATGTTTGCAGAGTGTCATGCATTGTTTTGGGGCTTCTTGCTGCTCTGAGGCTGGCTTTAGATTAATTCTAGGTTAAGCCCGCAGTTTCACCCTGTTTCTCCTATGTCTGGTGCTTTGTACTATTTGTCAAAGAGCCAGACTTTGGGGCCCAGTAGTCCTGGGTACAAATTCTGCTTCTGTAACTTACTGGCTTAGTAACTTGGAGGAGTAATGAACCCTGTCTAGACCTTGGAGTCCTGCGCTATGAGGCCCCTCTTGGGCCCCTCGCGGTGCTCCAGTGTGATTATGGGTTGAACACCGGCAGCACAGTGTCCTGAAATGTTGTTTCTATTAGGAAGAGAAATCTACGGGGCCAGAGAGCAGACTCTGCTGGGCCCAGATCTCTGTCTGAGCCAAACACCCGCTCCCCCACTGCTGGGAATATAGGCTGCTAACAGCTCCAGGCTGCAGTCATCACTGGAAATCACCCTCAGATTTCCAGTGGGGCTCTGACCAAGGTTGTGCCTTTGGAAGCGTAGCCCACGGCCATCAGCTCGTTGCTGTAGGTGGGATTTTTCAGCATGAGCCCTGTTGGCATTTGGGCTGGGTGAGTCTTTGTTATGGGTGGACATCTTGTCCATTGAAGGCTGTTAAGCAGCATCCCTGGCCTCAAACCACCGGCTGTCGGTAGCATCCACTCTCCCACCCTGTTCTTCCCATTGATGATGGCCAAGGATGTCTCCAGGCATTGTCAAACATTCTCTTGGGCGTAAAGTTGTGCCCCCCTACTGTGAGAACGAATGACGTAGGAAAACAGTGTTCCCTTCCCACAGTTTGAAACAGCACGGACAGGTGTCTCAGCTCCAGAACTCCACTGCAGTGCAATCTTACTCTGCCCAGTTCTGCCCTCCTCACTTTCCTACAGGGTCTCCCAACCCCGGTCACAAGGAGCCTTCACACCTGACTTTGTACCTCGAGTGTCCAAGAAACTCAAAAATCTAAGTGTAGTAGGCTGCTATAACAAGGTTTCCCACACTGAGTGGCTTAAACAATAGAAATGAAAGGTTTTTATCACAGTACTGAAGGTTAAAAGTCAAGATTTTGGAAAGATTGGTTCCTTCTCTTTGGCATGTAAATGGTCTTTGTTCTCGTTCTCTCTCTTTCTCTGTCTCTGTCTCTCTGTCTCTGTCTCTCTCTGCCTCTCTCTCTGTCTCTGTCTCTCTCTCTCTGTCTGTCTCTGTCTCTCACTGCCCGCCCCCCTTGAGACAGGGTCTCACTATGCAGTCTAGTCTAGCCTTCAATCTACTGTATTTCCCAGGCTCTAATCTCTTCTTATAAGAACATTAGTCATTTAGATTAGTCCCAGATATTGGGCCTCATTTTACTTAATCACCTCTAAAGGCTCTACCTCCAAATATAGTCACATTCTAAGATATTGGGCCTTAGGACTTCAACATAAGAACACCAAGGGGGACATAGTTCCAACAATCACACCAACCCAAGACAAGCTGAAAGGCTGGTTCAGGTCCAGAATGTGGACTCGGGTGCCATTTTGGTCTAAGACAGCTGTCCAAACCCCACTCACTTCCTGTTCAAGCTGGAAAATGCTGGTGGGATTATACTTTTGATGAAGCTGGTAGACTGTCATCCATGGCTCGTCTTAAACTTCTACTCCTTGGAGACTTCTCAGGACTATATTCTAGATCTAACTTATCTCTTCCCCAATCTTAACCTTTCTCTTGTCTCCAGAAGATGTAAACTTATCTCCCATCAGGCCACTGTCCAAACTGGGTGGGAGAAGATTGCATAGGGAGGCAATGTGGAGTAGGGGAAGGAAAAGGGGAACAGAAAGATGGATACAAAAGTAAAATCTAGTTACTTCTCTGTAGTCCTCTCCACGTGGGCATTCTTAGACCAGGGGTGCAGGTCAGTAGATTGTGAAGCACATCTAGGCAGAAGATGTGAATAAACCAGGAGTTTAGCTATATCCCAACCAAAGTCCTAATTTTGTGAATGTGGTGAGGAACACCCCAAGAGATTTTTAAATTTATATGGGAGAATAGAAGCACATGCATAGCTGTGGAAAGTTGGAGGGAAAGCAGGTAAAAAGAACTGGTCTAACATACTGTTGTACTGTGAAGCCATAGTAACGAAAACAGTGAGGAGGGGCTGCAAGAGGGGGCAAATAGGTTAATGGGAAGCATGGAGAGCCCAGGGGCAAACAGGTAGAAATTTGGTACATGATCAAAAGGAATCACCAGTTAGCTGGGCTAAAAAAGGAACACTTAGTGGACAGACTTAGTAATAAGGCTAATCATGTTTTGAAAAATATATCTACATATGTAGTAATAACAGTGTATGAGTACAGTATATAGACCTTACTGTACTACATTATATGCTATGCTGTGTATATATTATTATATAGCATACTGTTAATATATATGCTTTAGATCTATGTAGAATTTCATATATACATAAAAACTTCAAATGAATTAAAAATGTAACTATGGAGGTAGAATCACAAGGCTCATAGAAAATATGAGGCTATTTTACACATTTTGAATGAGAAAAAAATTTCTTAAGCAATATACAAAAATAAACAGATTTACTGTCTTCAAAATGAAGGATTTGGTCAAAGAAAAGACACAAAAGACAAAGATGGTAGGTAGGTAACAGATAGGGAAAAGGCTTATGAGACATCCAACACCACAAAGGGTAAATACCTAGGATAAATGAAGAACACGTGTTGATCAGCAACACAACACGCAGAAAACCTGGTAGAAAAAGATATTTAAAGCATGTGATCAGGTTCATGAAAGGAGGAAAAAGTCTTATGACTTGTAATACAAGTTAAATCAAAAATAGCACTTCACTCCCTGGTATCAGGAAAAATTAGCAATACAAACGGTATCATAAGGATATAGAGGAACAGAACGCCGCGGGCCTCACTGGTAACAGGTAAAATATGCAGAACTGTGGCAGGATGCGGGGAGGCTGTGTGCTGTGAGCCCGCGAGCCCATCCCCAGACAGAGGCTGCACAAGCCGCACATGGAAGAAGGGGCATGTGTGCGTGACGGTGATTGCCCTGCACTGCTGGAGAAGGCAAGGACTGGAGCAGGCTGGACCCCGGTGTCCGTCAGCAAAGGACCACGTATGGTGGGTAGGCAAGATGGAAAGTGATTCAGCAATCAAGTAAGGAACGGGACTGTTTTGTTTTTGTTTTTGTTTTTGTTTTTTGAGACAGTCTCCATATGCAGTTCAGGCTGGCCTTGAGCTCACAGCAGTCCTCCTGCCTCAGCCTCCTGAGAGCTGGGATTACAGGAGTGCATCACCACACCTGACTGGGAACTAGATTTATAAAAGTAAAGATGTCAAAAGTGTTTAAAAATGGATGATGAACACAATGAGCCACTGAATTTGATGAATTATTGTTTATTTAAATTAAAAACCAAACCCATGCTGGAGGTAGAGGCACATGCCTGTAATCCCAGCACTTGGGAGGCTGAGGCAGGAGGATCGCCACAAGTTTGAGGCCAGCCTGGACTACATAGTGAGTTCAAGGCCAGCCTGAACTGCATATTAAGACCTTGTCTCAGAAAAAAAAAAAAAACTAAAGAATACTATGTTGACATATATATATATATATATATATATATATATATACACACACACACATAATATGTACAGATTTATGT